GTACAGCACAGTGTTGAATGTAAATCTGAGTGACATGTGGGTTAAAACACCCCAGACAACATTTTGGTAGTGTGTTTAATATAATTCCGGTTGTGGGTTTGCAACAGGCATGGCTGTTGTTTGTTTTGTTTTCTGTGACAAATCATTTATGGCACAATCAGAGAATGGCTCAGTGGCTCAAAGCTGTTTGTGTCTGCGGCTATGTTCGACATTATAAAATGATTTGATATCAGTTTGCCTACTTTGTTTCTTTGCAGCTGAAAAGGGATGTTTGTTGTCCAAGTCGACTCACGGACACACATACAAAAGCTGCTGTACATGCTTATGACTGCATTTGTTTGGCTATTGTGTCACAAAAAGTTAGTAAACTTCTTTTAAAATGGTGAGTACTGTGTCAGCTGTGTTTATTGATGACTCAGACTCAGGTAATGGGGACTCAGCTCAGACTCGACTCAGACTATTTTTTGGTGATTCAGACCTGACTCGGATGCAAACACTCAAGACTCAACTGGGCTCGATATTTAGTGACGTGACTACAACACTGTCTAGTATGAATCCCATTTTGTGGGGTTACAAAATTAGCAGCAGCAGCAGCAGGTTGAAGATGTTACACACTGTCTGTGGTCTTCTGTGTTTTCTTTTATTCCTTTGGAAAAAATCTAAGGGCTGCACTGAACAGCGTAGATAGACTGTTACAAGAATACTGGGCAAAAATATTTTCTTCGTCCTCTTTGATTCCCCTGCAGCCGATAGTGCCTGTGCCTAAAACGGTGCTAATTTCTGTGAAGCATCAGATACAGTAGAATGAATAAAGCCGCTAAATCATTACAAGCGGTATCCTATATGCTGGAGCTGATGTGGAATAAGAAGTTCTTTCTGTCCACTGGTATTAAAAGACTTAGGCCCTTCTCAGCACTTCAGATTGCTGTCTTCTGACACAATCCCGCAGGCTGTTGTCAGTGTTGTACTGTAAAACCTCCCAGTTTGTTGATAGACAAGCTACATTAGAACATATAAAACTGACTGGATGAAACAAATTAAATTATACCACATTAAATAAAAACCATTTAAATCAGGAGCCATTATTGTCTGTACTGCTACACATAATCATACTGCATATGCACCAGTTTTAGAAGAGGACTACTAAATCATGGAAGACAGTGTCAAACTTGTTTCAGGGTTGTTGTGGAGGAGATGATGTAACAATGAGCAGCTTTACTCTCCACCAATCCAAAGTCCTTAACAGCCCACCCCCTCTGTCCCTCTCAAAAAACACAGAAGGCCACAGCTTAGGCCTACTGTATGGAACAGATGTGCTGCTGGCTGGCATGGATGGTGTGTGTGGAGGGAGAGTGAGACCGACACACACACAGATTGACAGAATGGAACATCCATTACAGATTTTTCCTCTCAACTAAAGGAAAAGTGCTTCCAGCAAGGCTCTATCAATAGAACAGTGTGTTTTGATGATGCTCATGTTCACTGACATTGCTAGTAAGTTTGGGAATTCTGCAAATTCTAAGAAAAGCACATGCTCAGTTTCACACACATGCTTGCCTCTGACTTTTAAACATGTGCTGACATGTATGTAATTTGATTTAATTACCTTTTATTATCATATGTGGAATTTGTGAAAACAGTGTCTTCTGCAACTCAGAAATCATCTCTGTCGAGTAATGCATCTTCCTTTAAAGTCCCCATGGCTGCTCATTTCCAGCCATTTAATATTTAATCTTGGGTACCTCTAGATTAGCTTTGCACCTCTCATAACTCCAAATAGCCTTTTTCTAAAAACAAGAGGTTAGTTTGCAGCAACTCCTGCTACCAGTGTTGTGTAGCAAGTGGACAGCACAATGAACTGCAATGGTATTAATTCATTTGAATTTCTCCTTCATAGACAGGTAAACAACAGTATATGTACTGATGAAAAGAGACGTGTAACACTCTAAAGAAAGCAGGTAATTGAGAAACCCCATATTTTAAGTGCCATAAATTAGAAATAGTAACTTCTGCAGTCTTACAACAATTCTCTCTAACATTACAGAAACAACATTAACATACATGCAACATGTTTTTTTAGTCAAAACATCGGTAAATCCAACCGGTGGTTGCTGCATCTTCCTCCACACGACCACATACAGTCCCAAAGTAGTGAAATCAATTCCAACAGGTAGCGTAGCACTAAAAATAATATCATGGATGTTAATCTGCTTGTTAACCAGCAACACATCATGTGCGGCAGACACACTGGCCTCAAGCAGTGAAAACAAACAGGTACTGTGCTCTGGAGGAATCCAGCGTTGATGAGCTGAACACTAACCACCATGGGGGTTTCACAGGCCAGCTGTTTGTAGGTTAGACCTGGTCAAGTAAAACAGCGAGTCCCTGTACAGGAACATTCCTGAACATGCAGTAACCTCAGGCCCTGTATTTTTCTCTACATCCTCTGGTCACAATGTAGCAGCAGGAGGTCAAATATATGAATGTCAGGCAAGCTTGCATGAACGCGCAGCTGCCTGAAGATAATGACCATTCAAAGAAATCCTTAAACTACAGTATCACATAATACGTTATTTTGTTACATAAAAAGTCTTGCAAGCAAGAGTTTATGAGATGTGTATAAACCGAGTTGCTTCCACATAGAAGTACTAGAACATACGCAGACCTCATTTTTTGAGCTTTAGGTCATGTATAAGATGATAAAGCAGTGCTGTAACATTGTAGATAAGTCAGAAAACAAGGAAAAGCATGCCATGAGCTCTTTAAATTTTCTTTTCAAAGCATGACAATGAGCATTTCATTAATTTAACCTAAGATTAGAAGATTTTTCAACAACTACTGTTACTTTTAATGAATAGTTCATTTTCCATATAAGTGCAGTAAAGACACTTCAAATTAAAGTGAGATAGAACCCAAATGACGTTTCTAGCAGTGATGGAAGAGGTATGCTGCTCAGTTTACAAGTGCTCCCCAAAATGTACCCTATATGAATTTCAAATGGATCTTTAAAATATTATTTCTCCTCTCTTGGAGAGTAAAAAAGTGGAGGATTGTTGGTCCAGTGTGCTCCAGCAGCACTACACCTAAGCTGTGAGATCTGCACGGTGCTTTCACATCCACCTGACGTCCCCAAAACAGTCACACATATGCTTTAAAACATGTTTGCCCAACCCCTGAGGATTCATACATGTAGATGTTTTCTAAGGGAGCTTCCTCCTTTTCAAGCAGACATGTCTATGCATCAACTCCACATGTGAGACCAGGACAGAGGTGAAAAGAGGCAGAGAAAGACAAGGAGGACAAAACACATCAAGGAGGGATAGGAGCCTGTAACCCCCTGTCCTTTTCCCAAATAAATCAAAAGTGGACCTCTCAGCTCATTTGTCATACAGTATTTGGACTAATTATTTTAATTTTGCTTTAATTATTAAGGAATTTGTATAATAGCCTATGTTAACTGATTAATATGGTAATATAGTCCTTTGTGGCCTAACAAAATAGGATAATACCTACCACTGCTACTAAGGTACTACTACCACTATAATAATAATAATAATAATAATACAGGAATATTTGTGATATATTCATTATAATATCATTTTATTTAGAGTCAGTCTGTCAGAGAAATAGCGATTGGTCTATACATTTATTATTAGTAACTGAAACACTGGAAAACAGTTCAAATTAGCACCGTACTGATAAATGCCCCTTTTTTAAAAATCTGAGCCCTGCCCCTGAGATACTTTCTGCACGTCCCTGTGAGAATGTTTAGGTGCAAATTGCACCAAGTTTATTTTGAACACTGGAAAAAATTTATTGAAGCTTGCATTAGACTGCAGTCTTAAAATCAAGTGTGAGGAGCATAGGATAGAGATCATTCTGAAAAATGAACGTTGTCTACAGTAATGGTCTTCGCAGATATAATGTATAGGAGATAATAATATGATGATGTGATGGTCTAAGGAATGTAATGCTTGATACATAATACTTTTGAAAGTCGTGACAGTTTTAATAGGAAGAACGGACATTTTGGGTTTTGTCTATAGTCCAAATCTGCCATCTAGTGGCTACTGTGAATAATACATAAATATACACTTGGATTATTAGGCACACTGAGTATTTGGAGGCTGTAGTCCCTGGTGCTGTTGTATTGTATTCTGACATAATATTGTCCACACCATTCATATCAGTGAGGCTCCGGTACATAACAAAACACCTGTTGACATTATATAGCTGTTGAGTAAACATCTTCATGTGTAAAACTATGTAATTCCCCTTTAAATCCTAAATTTGTACCAGTATTGTTTCCAGACTGATGAATGTGTGAACTTTACATCTAGAAGGTTGTTTTCATATTTAGCTGCTGAAGGGGAGAAGCTTCTCTCTCTCAACTTAAATCGAAACCTGAAGATGTGTATGTACATGCAGGATTTTGTGATATCACAGCTAGTTTGGAAACCACCTATGGTCCAGTGTACAATTTTTACAATGTGATGTGGATCTCTTTTCTTGTTTTGGCCATTGTGCCTTTATTTGACAGTCACAATGAAGAGAGAAGCAGGAAAAAGTGGGAGTGACACATGCAACAAAGGTCAGCAGGTGAGAGTCAAACATGGGTGTTAATGCTGTTAAGGTGAAATTTGAAGCCTCCAGTGCACAGAGAATATATTTTACAAACATAGATCCTATATATTGTTTTATTTGTTATGAATGAGAAAGAGTAAATGTAATTTTAAGAATTTTTAAGATAATTTAACTTTTGTGTGTAAAAAAAAACACCTATTACATATTATTATTCATATACAGTATCTGAAAACAGGAGGTGATCTATGTTTTCTTTAAGTGTTAGTACAATAACAGTAGCTGTGGCACACACACACAGACAAAACTGTGTCCCCAGTGAATAATCTGCTTAGTTTGTTTGGAATGCAGTGTGTGCTAAATGTCACCTCAGCAATCAGCAGTTTGTTATAAGGACCTCTTAAATAAACTCAGCTGTGTCACTTTCATGGTTTATTACCCATTGTATGAAAAGACAGCAATAACAATCACCAGTGTCATTAGATAAAGTGCACTTCAAATAAGCAGTGTCAAAATCTGCTAATACTAAAACTACTACTCACTACTAAAACTGCCCTGCCCCTGAGAAACAGGCCTATAACAACATGACCAGTTAATTCACATCATAATCTGTAATGCACATGATTCACAAGCCAGAGATTCAATAATGCACACAGTGACCCAATAATTATACATAGATACATAGGTGTGTTAACAACGGAATGTAAACAACACTTTGGCTCACACATATAACAAAGCATGCTGCTGTACAATTACAATATTCTGACAAAAACACTAATCTCCAAAAGGTGTCAGGTGAGAAATTATCCAATAATGACTAAATTACTGGCAAATATCTATATATATCACATTATGGAAGGGTTTAATTTGGAATCAGAGACTTCTGCTTCCACTCACAGGACCCTTGGTGTAAGCTCATCTACCTTCAGCAACCTGACAAGGTAGGCCTGTGTGTATAGAATGAGGAAATGTTGTGGTTGCACATTGTCAGGAGTTGCTTATTGCAGAAACCGTAAGACGCATCATCTGCCAAAGTTGACATTCAAATTCAACATTTGGGGAAATACACTTGTTCATTTTCTTGCGAAGAGTTAGATCAAATGACTGATTACTGCTGACTGTATTCTAAATATGAAGCTACAGCCAGCAGCCAGTTAGCTTAGCCTAGCACAAAGACTGGAGAAAGGGAGAAACAGATAAGTCTCTCTGAAAGTTATAAAATCCAACTACTAACACCACTAATGCTTAATAATTGATATGTTATGTTATCTCTTGTTTATACAAAATTAATGTGTAAAAATGATACATTAAGCTAAGCCAATTTAGCTGTGTTACCACAGAGCCACACCACACGTTTCCCTTTGTTTCTAGTCTTTGAGTAAAGCTAGACTAACTGACTGCGAGTGTTCTTTGTCTTACTGTATCTCATCAAGAATGTGAATGAGCATATTTTCTAAAATGTCAAATTATTCCTTGTTCTCTTTACTGTTCCAATAACATCAGACTGCATCATTAAAGATCTATCTTGCAGTGTATATAAAAGGGTAGAATTTCTATAAAGTGCAATGACAGCAAGACAATTCCTGACAAACAAGTCTGAGGCAGGTTTCTAGATTAGAGTGTAATCTAAAATTTTTACAGTTTTTTAAAACATACTAAACACATTAGACAAAAATATTTTAACATGATGAAAATCTTTTCAGCATGGAAAAATCACAGTGCCTACTTGGAAATCCTCTGTGGGAACGGCTGGGACTGAGAGATTTGGCAGTGTTGGCAGGAGTTAGGCCAAGATGAACGGCATAATGCCAGGAAGGCAGATAGATAGCAGGGGGGAAGATAGATGGAGAGGAGGGTAAAAAGGAGGGCTACTGTACAGCAGATGAGAAGAGACAGTGACAGTATCACATCAGTTACTATATATATTTCTGACCAGTTTCTTTGATGAAGATGTTTAAAATGCATTAACGTTCCCTTTATATTTGGATATTGTTCTCTGGATTAGTGAGTAACACTAATCTATACAGGACATTAAAAATATGATTGTCCAATTCACCTAGACATGATTCATGATAAATGTAATATTAAGAATATAATCACAGCATATAAACACACTTAGTAAATGCAGTTTACCTGAATTTACACATTATATTGTATGACCAGCACATGGTGCCTCTTGAAGATGTGCATTCAATTTAAAATATTATATCTATGTGTCACACGTCTACACATACTCTCAGTGCTGTCAGCATTAGTCTAAGAAAAACTTTTCAATTTCCACTCTCCTCACTACCTCAACATTCCCTCACAGATCTGTGGCAGTGATGTGCAATTTCGCGTTCTTTTGTTTTCTCCTACAGTCTATGTGCCTCTCTTGTTCCAGAACTTTCCATCAGCAGCCAGCCTCTGGTTTAGCAGACAGAGTTGCCGAAGGAAGCCGTCGTTGGGTCCGATTTCTCTTTTCTGCCGCACCATGGCCAGAGCAGTGTGGACATCCATGTTTTGGCGAAGCATTAGGTAGGCTATGACTAAAGTTGGCGAGCGACTGTACCCTTCCCTGCAATGAACGTACACTCTACCTGCAGGAAAAAGTCAAATGTTTCAGTTCAATCAAAATCACAGCAGTGGTGTCTGCAGGGAAATGGAAGTAAATCCCCACCAAAACATTTGAGGGTGCACAAGCCACACTTCCAAGTGCTAATCAGTTCGCACCTCAGCATCTGAGAGTGTAAAGGTGCATATTTATAAGTTCACAATCACATTTGACAGCATAATCCCAGCCATGCATGCGCTTATTTTTGTATCAGCATGCACAGATTTCTTCACTTGGTTTTGTGTGAAAGTCTGTCAGTGCCAAAAGTTTTGACAGAGCACGAAACAGGTTTCAAGTGCTATTCAGTTTGCAAGTCAGAATCTGTGACTGTGCAGGCGTGAATCTGTAAGAGCAGAGTCGTCTGAGAGCGATGGAGGATCTGTGTGCTCTCAAATTGTGACTTGCAAATTGAATAGCACTAATGTGTTTTGTGTAGTTACAAACCTTTTGGTCCCAGCAGACTTTCACACAAAACCCAGTGGAGAAATCTAAGAATGCAGACTCACAAACGAGAGCACACACGGCCAGGATCATGCTCTCAAATCTAACTCGGCACAAAAATCAGTTTACACACTCTCACATGCTGAGTTGCAAACTGAAAAGCACTTGAAATATGGTTTGTGTGCCCTCAAATGTTATGGCGGGGATATACTTCCACACCGGGGCAGCTGGCCCGGTGTTGCCCCCATGCACCCTGGGCGTCTGGCATATTAAAGCTGCATTAATTCATTTTTGTCTGCTTGGGAGCAGTGGAAAAAGCTGTATAAACAACACTGTACAGTTATGGCTAACATTTTAGCAAACCAGTGCCTATTTACAGACTCTGATGAAAATTAGCATTCATCAAGAAACAAAATGAAGGCATTTTGTGACCTAATATTCACACTCCTTTCATTTAAGTTTCAGTTTCCACCAGCTCTAGTTCTTTAGCTGCCAAATGCTGCGATGTTTAGTAGCTAACTTTATCTGTTTGGTATTAGCCTGACAGCGTACATCGGGTTTTCATTATTATTTAATGTCAGCTCTAATGTAGAGCAAGTGAATAAACTGAGATGAACAAAATGCAATATACATTTTTTTTTAGATTTTTCCACATTATTTTTCCATATCTTTTCCATATGAACTTAAAAGGTGATGCCCATAATGTAGGTAAATTTCCCATTTACACACCCAACCAAGGGTGTAGTTTTGCATATGGATGATAGGGACATGTTCTTCCCGATGTTTGAGCAAACCTGTGTGCATTATTTAATGGAGTAAAGTCATATTAGATCATTACGATGTGCCTGGCTGAGTGAAAGGGAGGGGGTGATCTAAAGCTGATGTTACGTGCAAATGTCACGGAGGAAGCGACAGCTGTCGTTATAATGCTGGACTTCGGTAAAGTTGGAAAGATATTCAAATACAAATGACGCCTCTTTTGTTTTGTTGTAATGTAGACAGCAAGCTGCGAGCTTATATTTTATCAAAATGAGCCATCCTCTTCTCCAAACAAATATCACTGATGTGCAGCAGCTGTGAGACGAGTGCACAGGGACCGTCTACAAAGTGCAACACTGAAAAGAGATAGGCTTATAATAACTTTACTCTTACTCACTGTAGTGTTACCAAAATCACTTCACACAGTGATGGTCATCTGCTGATTGTACTACAACACTTACTTTGGAAAATATATGCTTTTGTATAATTTTGGTGAATTTTTATTGGGAAAAATAGTCAGTAACTTCACTGTTAGACAGTAGTGTCACTCATCATTATGGATAGGCTAATGAATTATTTTGTATGTTGGAAGCAGCATCAGGCAAAAGAAACAGAGGAGGCTTTCTGACTTTTTGGAGTATACATCACTTTTCCAGTCTGGACATTAGCATTAGCATGCACTAAATACGGTATCTTTCCTGCACAATATGCCAAAATATCCCTAGCAGTATTTGAAATAATAAGATATGGGTTCAAACCTATAGCTTTTAAAAGTCACCATCAGATTTTTAGTTTAATTTTTGAAAATGTTTCTTGAGACTGTTTGAAATCTTCAGCATGTATTTGGTTTCTAGAATGTATTAAAAAAAAAATCAGAGCACACACTTCTGTCAACAACCCCACATTTAACTTCATTTCAGCTCTGTTATCCTCTGACCTTTTCCATGTTTGTATGCCAGCGCCTTCTCGATAAAGTCCGCTGCCTCTTCAAAGTAAATGCTGATGTCGAAGTGGTCGGTGTCACTGGCTGGTATTCCATGATACGTGATGCTTGTGCCAGCGTAGAACTCAGCATTGGTGTTGACATGCATGAAGGAGTTTCCCTCAGCTGCATTCAGGATGTGGGTGATGCCCAGACGCTTCAGACGCAGCACGTTCGTCGCCACAAACCTGCATTATTGTTAGGTAAGCAAAAGAAATACTATAAAGCCTGTTTCACAGATGCCTGACTCCCTGGACCTATTAACAAGTATTTGTGGAATTTGCTAAATTCTCTTCTTCAGTGGTGTGAACAACAGAATTTGTTGTTTAACTGGACACAGACCCAGAGTCCACCTGTCAAGGTGTCTGAAGGGGTTTTAGAGGAGAAAAAGGCAGGGTGATTACAACTAAACCTTTATTATTTAACTATTTAAGATGATGTTCGTACATGTCTTGAAGTGAAAAATTATTTTAATTCCCTTAAATATCTGAAATTGACAGAAAATGGCATTTAATTTTTTTATGGCTGTAAAAGTAGTATCATGGTGATATAGTATTGCATTTCTATAAAGGTAAAGGACTTGCAAGAGACAGATTTTTAAGAAAATGGTTAAAGCTGATGCAGCAGATGTTGAATCTTTCAGTCCTGCATAAGGATTATTTTCATAAACTGTGTTCACACATCACCTGCTGAAGTGACCCAAATCTGTTTTTTGTTTTTTTTTACTCAAAGGGCCTCAGATTAGATTTTTTCATAGTTGTGTGAACAAATCACAAACACCTCTGCCATGCACAAATTAAAATAGCTTTTTTTTGTTGAAAACAGTAGTTTGTGCTTTAAATCTACAAATGGCTAGCTGTTTATTTCTAATATACTAATCTTTGTGAAAACTGGCTGTTGTATATGGAGAAAAAAGAACAATTAGTATCCTATATTTATGCTAAATGAATACATTATACAGTATGTCTCACCCCACGGTAGCAGGGACACGGAGGTGTCAGCAGTGTTAACTGCTGAAGAGAAAATCTAGAGCATGCCTCTCTGGATATTTTAATTCAACAGGGACCTGATGGGTTAAACACATGCTATTTTCAGCTCCTCCATTCCCTCATCTTCTGCCTCAGCTCTGTTTTTTAATCTTCCTCCACCTCTTCAAAATTAAACATGGTGCAGCTGACACAGCACCCGTGTCTTCAGTTCCCTGTATGTCTCTATTTCTACACGGTCACTGTCAAACTGGGAAATATAACCCAAACTAACAATACTAAATTCCCCTGTGAAATATTACATTAGCTAACAAAGCATATAAATAGGGTAGATATAATGAGCTTTCTGTAACACCTCTATTCTAGAATGTACTATAGGATCCTATCATTTTCACACGCACAGACGCGCCTACTAAAGGAATAAATAGCCTGGTAACCTTGCTCGGTGTCCTATAGGATCCATGTATCGTCACAGTAATAAAATCTAATTAAGCATTTAGAGGGATAGGAGGTGAATAATCAGGCATTTGTTATCGTCCACAGGAAAGGGATTCAGAATCTGTGTGGCTTGTTGACGCTGCGGGAGCTGGAGGTCTCATGTAACCTAAAACATCCCTACTGGGACTAAATGGGGTGTTGTGCTGTTTACAAATGTTTTTTTTTTTTAAAAAGACTACAATAATGACTCACGCATTGCCGACGTAAATCCTCGGGTAAACCTCATGGAAGTGTTTTGTGGGCCAGCTGTAAAAACCGTTTCCGTCCGTTAACAGGTCGTTGAGTTGCTGGAGAGACACCTCGAAGCTCGACATGTCCCGTCGGTCCAGAGCCGCTGTCTTCACCTGCTGGGGGGGTTTGTTCTTCATGCTGACGACCGAGTGAGTGGCTCCAGTAAACAAACCCGGGGGGGAATAAAGCGGTGAATGTGGCGGACAGGTGTCGGTTTACCGGGCTCCTCCAGCGCGGCTCACCGAGCTGCGTGGTTGTGTGCACGCCACAGCTGACTGGCACCTCGACAGCGCCACCTACTCTCCGCTTATTGCACTGCCTGTTGTCACGTTGGGCCAGACATCCTATTTATAGCCTTAGCCTTGTTTGAAGCTCACTTTCAAATGTGTGAAACCTTTATTTTTGTTATGAAAGCAAAAACCTGTGATTAAAAAAAAATCCCCAGTAAACCAGATCTATCTTAAAAATCCCTTCATTTATCTATAGGCATATAAACGTTCACATCTTCAGTGGTAGAAAGTCAATAAGCAACCTAAATTACAGTTTTAAGTATCTGTACTTTACTTGAGTGTTTCCATTTTCTGCTATACTTCCCCACAGTTCAAAGGCAAATGTGGTACTTTTACTCCACTAGGCCTACGTTATTTGGTAACCTTAGTTAATTTTCTGAATCAGATTAATAAAACTAAATACAGTATAATCATAAGACTTTATTGATCCCCAGTGGGAAACTACCTGGCAGTATGTAAAGTCATTCAAAGCCTAAGTAGTGGTGGTAGAAGTATACTCAGATCCTTTACTGTGCTATAAATGTGCACTCTGATGACTATTCCTTTAAGAATAAATTGGAGAAATTTCAGATCAGTTTTGCCAGGAAATTGGCTTAAATTCAACAACACAATATGTTGTTTGTAACCTGAGGATATTTGTCTGTGCCTTCCGTAACCAAATCAATGTTGGGATTATAAATCAGCAGTGGCCATGGTTAAGCAAAATCAGTATTGACTGTAAGTTGAGGAGGGGAATAATGATCTACCCATGACTTTTCTATACATGACTTTACCTGACTTCCTCTTTTGTGACCAATGGACTAGAGTCTTTTTTTTTGTTTGTTTGTTTGTTTTTTTTTACCTAAATGTGAATAAATGTTGAAATTGGGGAATTTGCTGAAACAGGTGTTGGGCTTGTTTATTTTGGGACGACAGTATTGCTGAATTGAGCTTCAGAAAAAAAACACAAAGGACTGAACTGTGCAAGATATGATTTTATTTATACATAGAGAGGTTTTAGAGAAATATTGATAGGCTTTGCATTCACAATGCATTTCAGAAAGTGTAATTAAATCTAAAGTGCAAATGCTGCAACTTTTCATTAGACGAGAATTAGCTAGGAAGAGAAGGTTATTCACCATTGGAGCCCTATATTACTGTGTCAAAACTGACTTGAAAAGAAACTGGTGGCACTGATTACACATTTCATGTCCCAGCACATGCTGCCTGCAAATACAGAGCTCCTCTGGCAACTTGGCTTTGAGGGGATGCTGCTTGAATACATGTAGAAGGAGAACATGAGGAAGAGTCACAGGACAGATGCCACCTCAGCTCGTGGTACATTTATAATGACAGAACAGCTGGAATCATCTGGGGAAGGGTATGAGGCATACTTTGTCCTCCAAGGACCCATTACCAAGACTGACCTACTGCTCTCTAAACTGTCTGAAATGTCTTAACCTTTTTTAACCTCTGACCTATATGTCAAGATTGAAGCTGTTTTTAAAGTAATTTTGCCCCTTCAACACATTTACAAGGCTGGATCCATATTTTGCACATTATGCCCTAGGTTGTAATAATTTACTCATTGCAGTCAATGTTCCCTGCACTGTGGTGGCTACAAGGGGTCACATAAAAAAAACAAAAAATATTATTTTTCTGTGTGTGCCATGTAATTCCTCCTTATCTTCACCTTCTGAAAGCTTATAATACCTGCTACTTAATACCTACTAAGGATATTAGCTCAGATAGTAGATTCCTAGTATGTGCTAATCTACTGTATACTTAGTAGGCAATACATAAACTTCCCCTCAGAATCAAGCTGACTGCCTCACTCTTTAGCACATCTCAGGTTGCAGCTTTGCTGCCCGGCAGCGTAGGACTTTCAAGAAGCTGTCAATCTTATGGGAATCTCGTCGGAAGCAGGACAACAGGAAATGGAAGTTGGTCAGTTTGGAAATCCTATCCTGGCCGATGTCATTGCCTCCGCTGTAGGGTAGTAAGGAGACGGTCTGAGCTGCCGGACCCATCTAGGAGAGTGGGGAGGCAGGGAACATGGAACGGAGAGTTGGAAAAGAAAGGATATGTGTATTAAATGCACAATTTTAAATGGGCACAAAGCAAAATGTGGCCCCAAGCTTTTTGACCCAAACTTGCACACCTTGCCAGATAGGATATCTAGGCCGTCTCCCAGGCTCTTGGAGTTCTCCTGCAGCTCCTGAATCTTGTTTGATATGCTGCTTTGAGCTGGGTGAGGCAGTGTGTTAACAGAGGTGGACAGGACTAGCAGGGGGTCCACCCAGGATTTGAGCAGTGAGCGAGCCAATGACAACAGGTCTGACTCCTGGAGGACAAGTCAAACAGATATTACAAAGCAAAGATGTAGGAATTCCAAAATTTTGCCAGCAGAGTTCGGGAAATGGACAGAATTTACTAAAGACCAACTGAAATTAAAATGCCTTTCTCCTTATTAGCAGTGCATTCAGGTCATATCCATTCATTTAGTATTCAATTAAAATGTAAAGAAAAAAGTACTGTTTACTTGCAGCATAGTTTATTATTTGAATTTTGTTTGAATTATGATGCTGTTAATCCAAACAGGTTGGAATCATATAAAACACTTTAAATGTCCTTGTTTCAGTTGGCATTCAACAAAATTTACAGTGAATATGTTTTGCTGCATAGTGCCTGAATGTCTATACATATGGCACTCACTTTAATACTCCTTTAGAACTTAGTGTTCACTTTAATGTGTTGGTGAAAGCTGAGGTAGATCATTTTTGTAGATCACATTTTGTAGAAAATTAAGTCACGTTTTGATATTACAATGATTTGATAATGCAAAAATAAAATAATCTGAATTATTCTTTTGGAGGCAGGAATGTTGCACTGACAGAGAAAATGAGAACTGGGAAGTAGACTGGAAAGGAAAAGTGAGGAGAGACAAATGAAAGTAAAAGAGAAATGAGAATCAAAAGAGATGCAGTGACTTACTGACACTTGAAGAGCTTGCTCCTTGTCGTTGGGCGTCTGTAGAGAGGAGGTGTGGCACATTGAGGGGCGGGGCATGATCATCCAGCCTATAGGGGGGAAATGAGAGTCCTGGCAGGGAACAGAGGAAATTTATTATATTGTAATATACTACAGAGTGCGTACAATGGGTCACCACTTCCTGCCACTGTGCAAAAGTGAGGCCAAAATATCATGAATACAAAACTGGCTATCTTGCTTTTGTGATGCAACTAGATTCTGGAGCCATGCTATCAGGCTACTAATCAAAGCTGTGACTCATAGGAAGTACATCCCTTCTTATCATCAAATAACTTATTAAAAGCAGACAAATGACCACACAAATCAGTGTAAGTATATCTACCAAAAATAACAGCACTCACCTTTAGGAAAATATGCATTATATTTGTAATTTTAATTTGTAGTTTTGCTCCTGTCCCATCTGTTACCATGGAGGGGGCAGGGTTTATGACCTATGCTGCAACCAGCCACCAGGCAGAGATTGCCTCGCAATGGCTTCAACTTTGAAATTCATTGCCTCTACATCTTTGCCAGCTGGACTCTATTGTACAGGTCAAATCACAGCTCAGAACACATCGGTTTAAATTAGCATACTCATCTTAACACGATTACAATCATGTCATTAATTTTAACCTTGCCCTTTGTTTCTTTGTTTTAATTGGTGTTTGTGTTAGGGTGATTTTCACTTTTAGATAGGAATGAATAATTAGTTAGGGTTTTTATTATATAGCATACATAAGTTTATATATTTTAATCTCACAGTTGTGTTTATGTTTATTTAGTTACATATCTATATATCGCCCTATGTGTTCACTGAATCATTGGTCAGTATATTGTGTAAGCCAACTGGAGCACTGTTTAAAATCAGGGAGACTGGTTCACTAAAACACTAAAATTTATTAGATTTACAGCCTAGCAAAGAGGGTCCACAGTTATTTTATTACCACCACTTGGCTAATAGGCCGGGGGAGTTATAGTTTACTGGGATTCTTGGAATAGTTGGAACAGAGATTAGATCTGAGCCCAGGAAGAGGAAAACAACTTCAAAGGCAGGGCAATATACACACACACAGGCAGAGCAGTATATTGGAACAGGAAAGCAATGTCTAAAATGTAGCAGTTCCTTAGAAACAAAGGAAGACATACTGTAAGTGTCTATGTAGGAGTTAAGACAGGGCAGGTATTCCTCCCTTTTTAGGGCGCTGTCTACGGCCATTTGAGCAGAGAGGATGATTGGAGGATGGATGGATTGAAGGACCAATCTTGGGAGAATTAAGTTTAAACTACAATTGCTCCCCAACAGTTTGGACCAATCATCACATTTTTTTCATATAAATGTTGTATACCGCGAAGTTGAAGTTAGTCTTTTCTGTTTATCCTAAACAGTCAAGAACCATGTGCACATGCTAATTTTGATACATTAATGCATAATAAATTTCACACTGTGAAATATCATTATATTTAGTCTTTTTTTTTCAATTTACGAGAACACGTTTCAACATTTGCTCTGTAAGGTGTCCTTGGGTGATTGAAAGGCCCCAATAAATGTAATATTAATTATTATTATTATTGTTATTGTTGCTGTTATTGTTATTATCATTACTGTGTAAATCCTTTGGCATGGTCTATCCAAAGTTTAACCAAATCTAAATCTGAGAAAATTCCCAGTTTTGTCCAAGTGGTAACCTTCAAGGCTGAGAAATGAAGCCAGTGTGGCAGTTTTACACCACGCAGTTCCTTGAACAGCCACTTGAGGCTGGCTCCAAAGGGGAGTCAGTCCCCATAGAATTCTGTGTCCCATCTTTACAGCAGAAATAAACGTGTTTACAGCCTGGTTAGAATAAATAAACAGCTTTGGTCTCCATAGCTAATTAGTCCATCCATGACAACTGTAAGGGGGTGAATTTTTATATAACTCTTCTGTTTAAAATTATGTTGAAACTAAAAGTTATGTTTTTAAAAAGGGCGCTTTGAGTGATAAGCCACAGGTGGCTGGCTACTAGTTGTCTCCATGCAGTTCGGTTAAGTCAGTCAGGAAGCTGAGACATGAAGCACTTTAACAGGAGGTTCAACAGATTGTATGTTTGTAGTTGAGGATGCCCTCAGACAACGCAAACACACACGCATACAGTAAAAACAAGCACTGACCAGCTCTTGAGTGAGTGTTGTGCTGAGAGAGTGCAGTTTGTCAGAGCGTTGAGAGGCTCGATCAAGCAGCTCGGTGATGGGGACGGCATTACACGCTGCCACCATACACAACACTGTGGAGCATGGAGAAAGTGTCAGAGAAGAGATTTATTTATTTCATTCAAATAGGAAGTGGCTGGAGCTGTAGAGTTCAGTGTTAATTCTCATTTGGTCCAGCAATGCTAGCACCTTTTTTACATTACAAGGTGTTAACATATACCTTGACTGCAAAATAAGTCAGACTACCAGCAAGTATAAAAAATTTCCAAGCTGATATCAATGCAGCATTATATTTCAAAGACTGTGACCTCGGTATTTACCAAGTACAACATTTTATAGGTGGAGAATGAACTTGTCACAGCTCTCTGACGGACCAACTATGCCATGCTGACACAATCTTTAAATGACATCTTGGCACTTTCTACAGAATCGTCTTGTTACTTACTAGCAGGTATACATGCTAATATCACTATAATGTATCTGTGGTGATCTAATATCACCTGATTTAACAGTCCAGATGATTCATCAGTTCTGCTCTAGGAAGTAAACAATGTTGGAAAAGAATTCAGCATTCTAATTCTATAATAATAATATTCAATATTTTTCAGTAAAACATTAGGTGTAAAGACTTGTGCACAACCAGTTTTTCAATATACTTTAAAAATAGTCTGTATATTTTAGAATAATACCATTGTATAGATCCGAGACAAAGAAATGCAAATCATTTCTAACATTGCTATTATTTTGAAAGATAACCCAGATAAAAATGGCAATAGTTTCACCTGTCATGAAGAGTTTGCTTCCACTGGTTCTTCTGTGAGCCATCTCTCTTCTTGTGCTACCCGTTGGTTAGTTTTCACTTCTTTTTCTCTTTGCTGCCTCTTCCCCACACTCTGTTTTGTCTCCATTTTATACTTCCTTGGCACCAATACTTTGCTTATGAAGCAGCGGGATGAGGGTGGGCTAATTGTTTGGAACTTGTTTGGTCTGGTTCACAATGAGAAACATGATCTCAGAGGTTTGAATGAATGCAGCAAGATAGAGTCACAGGTTGATTACTACTTGTGTGTGTAGAAAGGAGGTGTTGGTGTTGGTGTGATGGTGGGGGAGTTCAGAAAGGTGGTGGGGGTGGTGGTGGTGGGGGGGGGGTGCAGGTATTACTCTCGTTGTGGGGATGTAAATCTGTTTTCACACTCACAATGTGGGGACTCAACATCCTTATAGGGACAGAAAGCAAGTCCTCAAAATGTAAATCATTATACTGTATATCATAGAGATGCGCTGGTTTAAGGTTAGGGGGACTGCTTCTATCTCGATGGTTTCCCCTGCATTGTCTAATGACCTAAAATGGTTTGGGATAGAGAGGCAAAGGCAATGCGCTGGCCGGCACGTCATTCAGATTCCCTGATACATTATGGCACGTCATTAGTTGATAAGGTTTTCTGGGGGCCATAAACAGGCGTTGGATCAAAACAAAGAACTCAAATGGTTAAGGTTAGGTGAAGTCTCCAGGAAGTGAATGTAAGTCAATGTAATGTCCCCTGAAATGATGGAAACATAACGTGTGCATCCTTCAAGATCTTAATTAGGTAGATGAATTTAACACTGATGTTTTAAATGTTTGTGTGACGTGTCTTCATTCATTATTGCATCACTTGAAGATTAAATCACTGATGTCCATGTAAGTCCACAGCTCACCTGAGATGAGAGTCTTGAGATGAGACAGGTTTTCCCACTAACATGAACAGAAAATCTCAACATGGGCTTTACTGTTACAGACTGGCCTTAGTTCTTGTTCCTAGTACTTACCCGTCATGTTTCTTTACTCTTTAACTGTTCGTGTTGTCTTTTACATTTCTTAGATTTCCTTTAGTATCTATAAAGCACATTTTAATAGAATTGCTGTGCAAAGATATGCAAGGAGCATATCATATTAGAAATTTGTTTTTCTGATATCCTAACATTCCAAGAATTGCTCTGTTAATAAATCTTTTGTACATTCATCTAAAACCTAATATGTAGAAAAACAATGAAGTGGAAATCCTTTTCCCTAACACAAACTGGGCTCTCACGTTTTAAAAGTGGCAAAATGGAAAAACTCTTAAATCATTATTATTAGAACGAAGACATAAATATTTCACATTTATGGGCTACCAATGAACAAATATGCTCATTTTGTTTTCTGAAAAGTCATTAACGGACACAAAATGATACTATTACATATTGACAGTAGATAGCTAATGTTTGGTCTCAGTTAGAGATGTCTAACCCGCAGTTACTTATTGTTAGAATGAGGTGTACACATGCCTGCAGACATCGTTTGTGGTTAACCAAACCTTTAATGTGTGGAGGGCAGGTGACAGGTGAGTAGGTGGACAGTGACGGGAACTTAGTGAGGACAGATATGGAATGGTCACTGTGAAATGATGATACGGGGACAGCGGGTTTTACAAAATATTGAAACCTTATCATGTTGGCTTTAGCAACAAGAAGATTTATTAACTGGTGAAACAGATGAACTGGTGACACTACAGACATTAATTAATTCATGTGTTCAGGTGATTCGTAGCCTGTATATGATGTGATGGCACACTGATGGAAACGGGGAGCAGAGGCTACGGGCTGATGTGATCACTGGGGTGTTGCTGATTTACAGTAGGTTATATGATATAAAGAAAGATTAGGTGGAAAAGGAGAAAGACATAAGAAGCAAAAACACTGACGGATGAGACTGACAAATGCACAAACTGGGATCTGTAACCCACAACACAAGTCTTATGTTTGTGAAACACAACAGTGTATAGTTTTTTTCTGCTTCACAAAGCTTTATTTACATTAGCAAAACTTTTAAAACATTTACATATACAGTGTTTTCCTTCACATATCGTATATCAACTAGTGTCAGTTACACTCAGTGGCCACTGCATCAGTGTTTATCAAGCTCATAATCTTCAGTTTTTGTTGACATAGTCGTAATTGTTTTAATTTATTTATATGTTTATTACTGAGATCATACAGTAGTTATAGATGGTGTTTTTTTGGCCTGTAATATCCGGAAAGGTGTTATTTTTGTCTGGCTGGCAGAATGTTAGCAACACCTCTGAATATAAGGTAGTCCAGTGTAATATCGTTACTAATTAAGTGCTAAAACTCATAACTGCAAACTGAACAATACTGGCTGTACAGGTGTGTCTTGGTGTTAGGGTTCAGCTTCCTGTTAGACCACTTATGAACAAAGTGTTATAAAACTCCTTTATCAGAAATCCAAACAGACTTGTTTGGAATAAAAGAGTTTGACGTTGTGATGTGGGACTGTTCACACTCAGCATGGCTATAGAACACATCAGTAGTAATCAATCAGATTTTACTGCTGACAACAATAATGTGCCATTTTTCCAGTAAACTCTGGACATTTAGGAAACAGTTCAAAATGGTGTTTATGAGCAATTCTAAAAAATGTTGCAAAAGTCATGAACCTCAAACAGAACATTAGTTACTGTAAGTTCATCATTTCTTTCTCCATTACAGGAAACTTCTTCAGAAAGTTACAAATCAACTCTCCTTTCAAGGTCATCACACACAAACTGGGTGGACATAGTCTTTGTTCAGGACACAAGAGGTCACCCCTATTAAATATATTTATATATTTGCTTTAAACAGCCCTCCCTGTGCCTACTGGCAGCCCGAAGCATCCGCCAGTCAATCTACAGGACAACATGTAATACATATGTTCAAACATGTCTGCTCAGCAGTCCTCCTATGGGTGACCTGCCTTTGCAGTGTCTTCTGATTTTAATCCCTGAAAGTTATCACTCCTTCCCCAGTGCTGCAAGCAAATTCTTCTTGTCAGGAAAGCAAGCTTATGTTGCTGGTTGTCTTGCAAATCAGAGGCGTGTGTGCTGTTTTGGGGGTGTTAGAATATACAGTATAGCTTTCCCTGTGCAGAGTCAGCAGGGAGCCTGAGGGTCCCAGCCAGACAGACAGACATTAAAAAGCCCCTCTTGCCCTCTCATCAGCTCTGTTTAACCCTCTGGGAATCTCAAACAGGGGCGTCTTCTTTTTCTTCTTCTTCCTCCCCTGCCTCTTGACTTTCAGTCCCTGGCAGCGCATAGAGACTGAGTGCACGCATGCACCCACGACCATAAACCAGAGTCACAAACCCCCTTTAAGTGAGCTCACATTCACTACAGAGCAGTTGCAGCACACCCAACTCCTCCTTGGCATTTTCTGTTGATTCCTGCACACACACTCAGATACATTTTTTCAGCTGTCTAACTCAGGACCAAGACGTCCCAGCTGCAGATACATTAGGTAGGAATTACAAGCATTGTTTCATGAATTCCAGCTCATGTGCTGGTTTCTACACAGGAGCCCTAAAGTACATTGTCCTGATGCACATGGATTCGCAGGGAGGTGTGGAACTGGCTTCATAATGAAACACAGACATTCTTTATTCTTGTTTAGAAACTTCAGTTCTCATAAAATCTGTAAGACTTGGACAAGATGTAATGAACAGTGTAGTGCTTTATAATATTGTTGCCTATATGCAATATCTTTAATTCTGTGGTGCCACCAGGTCATCAACTGTTCCTGGCTTCTGGCTTGATCTTTTGTTAAGAGAATTTATGCATGAGAGGGTATTATTTCTGCAAGAGGAGATGAGACGAGTTTTTTCCATGCAGGAAATTAATTAGTTGGCATTTGATGCTAATGTAATTTAGGTACTGCGCACCTTTTCTTCTTTGCAGAATATGAATGAGTAGCTAGTGCTATTAAACAGCAGAGGCCAGTCAGTGTGGGTTTCGCCCGATGTCACAGCAATGATAAACAAAGGTTAAAAATGATGAAAACAAAGGAAGACAGAAGGAAAACAGCTTTCATTAATCATCTTTGCCTTTGCTACAGCTGTATTTGAAGCTCACACAATGGTTTTCACCCAGGAGTGCATATCCCATAATCCATAGGTACTTGTTTTGTAGCTCTTTACCAAGTGTGCAGCAGGTGCAAAGGACATACCCTAAGCACCAGGCGTACGCACTGATCAGGACACAGCTTGTAACAGTTATTTTAGGTGGTTTCTTTTACAAAGGATTTGCATGTTTTAGAAGGGGTAGCATGTTGACGAGCATAAGGAATGCACACAGCACAGGAGTTGGTGAATTTGTGAATGTAAATGTCTGATTGTACAGCACAGGTGCACAATTTAGACATGTTGTGCAGGTTGTCACACATGAGCAGCGCGGTGCCCTGTTGTATGCACATGAGTCACAAATGTGTTGCAATAGGTTAATCCTGCAATTATAATCCGCTTTGCATAATAACTTACTTCTGAGAAAAGATTGAAAACTGTTCAGTGTAGTGGCTACTGGCCTGTTCTCTGGCTCTCTGGGTCCATATCAGAGCTGAAACAATCAGTCTGTTAATAAATAAATTGACTGAGAGAAAAAAAAACAATTGTATTTTGATGATTGATCGAATAATTTAAAAAAAAAAAGAAAAAAGGAAAAATCCTATTTGTAGTTCCAGCTCCCTAAATGAGAGGATATTCTGTTTTCCTCTGATTTTTGACATGTTAAACTGAACATTTTTGAATGTGGGCCAAACATCACATCAAAAGCTGACATTTTTTGATCTGTTATTTTGACATTTTATGGACCAAGAGTCTGCAGAGTAATTGGAAGTGACAATAACTGTTAGCTGTATTCATAGTCCAAACTTTCAGGGAATGTTTGAAATTCTCACCATGACCTGAAAAGCTTGCTTCTGCACATATAGTTCAGTGTAATCATTGCTCCCATTTAAAATTAGATAAATGCAACCTATCAGGGATGTAAGTACTTGTTTTTACTGTTTCTAGAAGACACTCACAAGAGAGAAATGTTCTTTAACTTCAGCCCCAAAACATTTAGTTGCCTTTCATTCCCTGACCTGTAAAGCACAGGTGCCATGTGCTATCATCAAGCTCTTTCACAAAGCTGCCACTAGGTGGCACAATTGGATTCACAGATAATGTTGGAGAACTGGCTGTCATCACATTCCAGCTTCCCTGGCACAAACACGCATGTACCGTTTATAGCCATAAGTGAGCTAGGCGATCACCTAGGGAGTCACCAGCTGGAGGTATGCCAAAGAGGAGGAGGACAAATGTTTTGAAAATAATTTCAGATGCCCCTTCAGCTTGTAATGGTTTGTCTACATTGTTCAAAAGAATAAAACCCTGCTCACACTGAAAGAAGGTTTCAGGTAGACTGTACAGGGACTCTGCTGGGAGTTTACTCTCGCTGTAACAACAACCTGCTGCTGCTCGTTTTGTGACTCCCATGGATCATTTGCTCACACTACTGTGTAACTGCCAGGTTCCTTATGTTTCCTTCAAACTGTCATCCAATGTTAATGTAATCCATACCAGAATAATTCATATCAACAGTGATAATATGTGTAGGTGTGCCCTTCAACTCACTGTTATGGCACAGTGTTGTATAACCTACAGCGGATCGGTTTCAGTTCATGATATGGTGAATTACTGTACATCTGTTTCAGAGACATTTTGCAGGTAAGCATGCTTTAGCATTTAACCAAGGTTAATGCTGAGGTCAGTGAATGTTTGTCTAGACCTTCCTGCTATGACACACTCAGACACAATGTGCAGAAACAGCCCTGCATACACCATCACACTGTGCATGGGCTGACAAATGTTGAATTGACACATTTGTATTAATTACAGTTGAGTAGAGCTCCCACTTGGCCTTGAGGTGGCACTGGAAGTATCAAACTGATCAGCAAGAAACCTCAACATGCCCCTTCTTGACTTCTCATCCAATGTGCACTTTCCAAAATAACCCCCCTCACACACACATACGCACACACACAACAACCGTTATGTACATGTTTGTTGCCCTCTCACGTTTTATCTCCTCCCACCTTCTCCCGTGCTCCTCCCCTTTCACAAACTCACTCTCGTTTCTACTCTCTCTCTGCCTGTGCTGCTGGTGGCCCTGGGATCCATAGCTGTTTGGAGCACAGCAACAGGACACAACACGCACCCCCAACACACAGAGCAGTACCACAGACATGTCAGACTCTGAGAGAGCCGCTGTCCCCCCTGAGACCCGCGTCCCTGCTGCTTGTGCCAACATCAAGGCTGACCTGGACAAATGGTAGGTGATGGTGGTGGTGTGCATGTTGGGAAGAAGTGTGAGAAGAAAGTGTACACATGTTTCCTCTTCCTTTCACACAACCTTCACAGGTGAAGAGCACAACTTCATCACTCAGTGAGCATCATAGGAAGCTCTAGCACTCATTGGTCTGTATGTTCCAGATGTTCTCCTCTGGCTTCAAGAGTTGCCTTCAAACACTTGTGCATACTGAGATGGTGAACAGCTTTACATAAGTGAAGCCCTGAGCAAAATCCTGATTATTTGAATCATCTGTGATGTGCTTTAATGAGCTGTCAAATGACTGCTATAACCTTGCACAGGTCTAACAAAGAGGGAACGGAGAACATATTAGAAGATGGCAGCATCCTAAATGCGCCATGCTAAAATGGAGTCTCGTCAGAGGAAGCTGTGGTTAGCGAGGAAAACTACCAAGAAAGAGAATAATGTCTTGCACTTTGAAATGTAATCAAATTTGACATTGTAGCTGAAAACCTGGGGTTCCCTATGTGGAGGAGAGTGGTTTGGGGGTTAATGAGATGTGGCAGGAGGGTGAAGTTTGATGCTCATCCGCATGCATGGATGAGGACTAGGAATCTGCTTGCGTCACTTGTCTCCCTCTCCCCAGAGTAGCTTGAGCTAGCTTGTTTCGCTAGTCCCTGCCATATCCTTTTGCCTCTTGTTGTTACCGCAGTGGTAAGGTACAACGGCTCGTGGATATTTTGGGGGGTTTATTGTATGTATTTACAGCAGGCACAAAGCAACATGGATGACTATTCTGTGTGCACAGCTCAGTGAGAAGTGCAATGACACAACACTTTGGTGCCTATCTTCTTGGTTTCTGCACGTGAATCCTCCACACCTCTTCTCCAGAACAGTCCATTTTGACAGGGATTCTTTTTGGAGGGGGGTGGTTGAGAAGCTGGGGCATGAAGGACATTTAAGTTTTTGTAATTTTTTTCTGCTATTATATTTGTGCAGAGTAAATACATTTTATACCATAGATAGTAAAGTCTTGTAGCCAGAATGCTGGGCCTTGATAAGGTGGCGGTGGGTGTGTGAAGCCTTTAGATAAGACAGCAGGTTGAGGTGGAGAGGGAAGGCTGGCAGGGCAAGGCGGGAGGGTCAGCTAATCTTGTGTAAAGGTTTTACAAGTGTTTATTAAGTGTCTGAGGACACCTCAAGGTGCATTTGAATTCACATACCTGATATTTTGACAAATTCCTATTTCTTATTGTGTTCTGTGTTAGGAATTATGAATATAAATCACCCACCATTGATAATTAACCTGAGCTGCACATGTGTTCAGTCCCAGGGCAGAGCCATGGTATTTACTGCAGCCTATTAAAGTGCTAGTAGGTCTATACTGGGAACTCTGTTGGAGGTCAGCACTCTGTAATGTGTTTTAAAGCCATCTCCACAATATGTTTATAGTGAATATTTTGTGTGTTGGCCATTACATGCAGTTCAGTAGCTGAACCTATCATCAGTATTTAATAACATAAAGTATCAGATGACATTGTGAAAACAATGTGTAAATGTGACAGTGTCATATTTTCACATGTGAAGATGTGAAATCTGGTGATGAACTTGAGTACCTAAATCCACAGCTCTTCTTGGCCTTACAGAGCTTTTTACTGAGTTCTAGCTCATTGTTGTCCAGGGCACAACTCCTACTCTTTTGGTTCACTCTCACCACCCTCATAGTTTTGTTTAAAGATGCAGCAGGCTGCTGGTTTCAGGAAAAAAAAAGATCTAAAACTCCCAGTGTACCCTACGGTATCAGCCCAGCAGCTAGCTGGTGAGCACAGTGGAGCATGTAGCAGCTAAAGACACACTTCCTAAACTAGGAGATCAAAATCAGAGCTAAAAGAGGGTAAATATAGGACTTACATCCACCAGGTAGCGAAAAAACAGCTTTAAATGATTGCTAATGTTGCTCCATAACTGCTGGATATGTTAATAAAGTGTCTGCTAACAAGTTCACCATATCAACTTAAAAGGTGATGTCATGGTTGTGTTCACCAGTTTTTTCCACTGCCCAAGTAGTGAAAAAAAAAATCTGTAACTGCAGAGTTCAACAACCAAGTTGACAGCTAATAAAACCAAGGAAACCTGTCTGTCAGGAGCCAAAACCTAACCACTGACAGATACAGTAGTGCTGAAGATGAAGTGTGTTATGCTTGTAGTGGCTAATCTAGCCTCAAGTCATTAGCCTCAAGCAGAGATGAGAAGCAAGCTCTGGGCTCCTGATAAGCTCACTTCTGTCTAATCCTACACTCTCAGATATTACTTTTATTCTAACTTTTAGTCTGACACAGACTCAAGTAACATCACCTGAGGCAAGCTACAAAATGCCTTCACATATACTCCTCAACACCTGTAAAAAGATGTGTGGTCGCTGAGGTTTTAAAGTGGACACCTTTAAAGTTTTTTGACATAATGTTAGTCTAATCTGTGAACTAGGAAAACCCTTTTCCACTCAACCTTGCAAGCAAACCATATTGCTAAGACTCATTTAATTACAAGTGACTGCTTGTAAATTTATTATGCTGCCAATGACCTCTGCTTTGTGTAGAAGTCCTATATATTACCAGGTCCTGAATAGAAGTGTGGAGGTTATCACATCACTCTGCTGGACCTTCCAGTATATACAGAATAAGATGAGCTTCAAGCCAATGAAGTGTAGGTTCAACATGGCTACCTCTGTGTATTGAAGACCAAAGCCCATGTGTATTTATAGACAGCAGCTAGTGAAAGTCACAGAGAGAGGTGTGTAAGTGTGACAGTATATATGTAGCATACTTCTCTCTCATAGATAATGTTACTGCGTCACCTGATACCCGCTTCTTATAAGGTTATTATAAGGTTCCATGTAGTTTTACTCTTTCAAACACAAATTAAAAAAAAAATCTTTGAGAAAATAATTTATATTGGTTCAGATGTTCTCTGGTAGATTATTTTCACTTGTTCAAAGAAAATAAAATAACAGGATTCAGCTAGAGCCAGAAATGACAGATTTTTTTGCAGTGTTAGTTTACTGACACCCGTTTGCAGGACCAGAGCTGTCAGTGCACTTTGCTGACATGCAGGACAGTGTGTGACTTGTTGAGCGTTAAGTACTGAGCTAATGTTTACTTTTTACAGTATGTTGCAAACTCCTTATAGCTAATGTGTTGAGCAATGATAAGCCTGCGTACTTTAAATCTTCAGGGTTTTTGTGAGACACACCCCACAATTACAAATGCAATTCTCATAACAGCTACTTAACCCTCCAGTCTAATGCTGATCTGCTGTGATAAGACAACTGCGGTTTGGAAGACAGTTTCATCATCTTTTAGACTCTAGTCTTGAGTTTCATGTGGTAAGATTACATTTGATTCACAGAGCTACACTAAGATTCATAAAAATAACTTCAATACTATAAAAAGATAATCTGAAAAACCCAGATGCTCATTCTCCAGAAGCTGTCCTGGGGGCATTTGCAGAATCCTCAGAGATTCTTGGATAAAATAATTTTCTACCACTTTTTCAAGTTGTGCCACTGCTTCCTAATCTAAACAAAGATGATAGCCAGATATTTTCTTTGCTTTTTTCTTATAAAACACTGAATAATTTAAAGCTTTCTAGGTGTTTTAACAAGTCATTAAAACAAAACAAAGAAACACAATCTGTATTTTTAGAAATGGTTGTAATATGTAAACACAATTTTTTAAGGTGTCAGGGCTCCCAGGGATACTTTACTGAAGTTGGCATGCTCAGCCTTAGTCACGTGATATCAGTAGAAATGCAGTGACACAGACTCGGTTGCTCACATTTACTCATCAAGCAGTACACACACTCCTGGCAAAGTAAAGCGCTGACTTATAATCTGCAGCAGCCAGCTGTGTGTTACATCACCATCAGGCGCCCTTCCACAATACAAAGAAATAAAGCAGCAGTATATTAAAGTGAACGTGACACTGTAATGTGATCCTGTAGCTCAGGAGGTAGAGCGGGTAGTCTCAGTTCGATTTCTGGCTTGTCCAGTCCACATGTCGAAGTGTCTTTGAGCAAGACACTGAACCCCCAGTTGCTCCCAGCAATGACACCAGTGCATGAATGTGCGAGTGCTTGGGAGTGCGAATGGGTGAAAGCACTCTGAGTGTGCTGCAATGTATAGAAAAGTGCTAAGCAAGTATAAGACCATTTACCATTTAAATATGAAAATGCAGCCATTTAGATTGTCTTAGCATAAAGACCACACATACTGTATAACCTTATAACCTACCTATAAAACTGCAAATTTGACACTTTGGTTTTTGTTTATAGATGATTCTAAGCTATTCCTATAAAATTGTCATTCTTAAAGGGGTTTACAGTTTACAGGTGTTGGGGAGTACTACTGCATATGGGAAAGAGCTCCATTAGCCAGTACTAGCATAAAACACTTGAATCTCAGACTGACTTCTGATCAAGTCATACTGTGCGTTATTATTCAATTGTTTCTAGGAAAAATGTGTATAATAAAACATTACTGATCTGTAGTTATGCTGTATCAAGTTTGAGCTGTCCATAGAGAGTCTGACAGTGTTAGCCTATAGGAGTGCTGGAGTACTCATTAAGATTTCAATCCTGGTATATTTGGGATTTATGAAGCTCTTTTGATTAATTATCATGGTAAGTGTGTTTCTTGAAACATCAAAATAAAAGCCAGCCAGTTCAGCCCAGTTAAGCCTTCATGTGGTGCAGCAGCAGTAGTTTCTTTTAAATCAAGCAGTTTAAATCTCGTGCAGGAATGACAGACTCCGCCACTAATAGAGAAAACGGAAAGTGAAAGGTGAATATTTATTTGTTCATTCTGTGAAAACAAAACAAAAAACATAATGTATTACAAGCCTTATCCTTTAATGAACTGGACAAATAGCAAAACTGTTGTACTGACGGCCTGCTATGACAAGGCCTGTCTTCAATGGGTTTAGTATAATGTGGAGGAAAACTCAGAACAGGGGGATGTGCAGACATCACGAAGTGATTGGAGGAGCCAGAGGATGGGTTTACATTCTTGTCATGTTAAACCCCTCCTTCTGTGGGCTTGGCCTCTTACCTCTGTGTCTTGTCATCTCTGCATTGTCATGCGACCTCCCTCCCTCCCTGGTGTCCTTTGAAACAGACAGGCTCATTCACATGGTTTTCTGTGTCCCTCACTTTGCCCCCTCTTTCTCTGTCTCTCCCTTCCTTCCTCCCTTTCGCTCCATCATCTTAATGCACTGTGGCAGCGTCGGCTGCTGTGCTTGCTCTGCATGGGAGCTTGAAATAATCTGCTACCCCATGTTCTCTCTTTCTCTCTGACTTTCAATCCTTTTTGTTTTTCTCAATTCTTTCTTTATTGTTTTTGTCTTTGCAGAGATGTTACTGTTACTAATATTCTGTGGTTTCTTTTATTAAAATCTACTGGATCCTGAAATAAGCATTGTTTTGTCAACAGTCAACAGAACTGGTTGGACAGGAACTTGGCTGAGTCCACTACTGCTGACAACAGCCAACAACCCTCCGCCCCCAAATTCCTGTTTCTGTTTCCTGTTCCAAGTCTCATGCCATCTTTGTGAGATAATGGCATTCCAATACTGCCACTGATGGAAACCTAAGGTGTTAAAATGTGGATTATCTCAGCTCTGATCTAATTTCACTTGTCTTTCTTCTAGTGTGGCAGGGAAGGGAGCCGATGGCTGCAAAGATCTGATGGAGGCCTTTGCTGCTTGTGTGAAGAAGAATGCAGCCAAGGGCACATCATGAGGGGTCACCCTCCAACCGCAAATGTAACTTCATTACATAATTTGGCAATTCATTCATAGTGAACACTGTTATGTTGTCAGGGCATCCTGGTGTAGTTGTGTACAACAGATTCATGGTTAACCTGTGTTTTCCTTACTGTGATACATTCAAATATCTGCTGTGAAAAAGGCCTATTTTAAAGGGTTGGTACTTCCAAATTACAAACAAATGAATAAAGTAAGTACAAAATCCTTGTGTCTTTGGTGGTATGTAGCCATTAAGACATTATTTAATTTGTCCAGGTTTTGAGATATTTGTTTTTCATTAGAAAGTAGTTCCAATGAAATCTGTTGACAAAAAGCCTGTGGAATATGCAGAGTAGAAGAAATGTAAAAGGGCTCTTAAGTCAGATCAACTTCCAAAATCAACTGTTCATGACTTGGGATGAGCCACGTGTGTTGAGAAACCTGCCATCGATACAGTGGAAATGGGGCCGACAGCATATTTTCCCTCAATCCCTGCCTTCCTCCTTTTCACGTCTCCCTCTTGTCTTCCAGGTCTACTGCACTGAGTCCTTCAGTTCCCAACATTCCCTCACGCACAACAGCACTGGACTTGAATGATGGTGATGATGATGATCATGGTGTGATGAACATTGTGTTGATTTGGGCTGAGTTTGGGATCTGGCAGCAGTAACCACATTTACCTTACCCCTGTTTTAGGTTTATCGATTGTCCCTCAGTCTTACCGCTATTCCCTTTATCCTCTATGGCTGACATACAGTACAGTGACTTATAGTTAATTCCAATGAGAGCCAATAGGCTGCAATGTGAATTGTAAACTTAAGCTGAATATATAGAAAATAAAGTATCAAGTAACTGGTTCCAAAAACTGTGATTTTTGACCTCTTCTCTTTCACCGGTCACCGGTTTTATCCATAAAATTCTGTACAAAACTAGAGGGGCTGATGTATAACCAGCTCAAGACAGGGAAGGCAAATTAAGCAAATCCCTACAAAATTACTGTAATCAGACCGTGTTTGTGCTCATCCAAAGATTAGAACGACTGGATTCAAAACTGATGAAACTGTTTCCTTCAGGTTCCTCTCTTTGAAATTAAAGCTTTTGGCAATAATCAGTTATACAATGACATACACCATTCATTTTATTATTAAAAGGGGCACATGAACCAACTTAATTATCTATTCCCTATTTAATGCTTGCAACATTTTCAATTTTACTGATCATATTTCCAATCCTAAATCTTATTTGATGAGATGGGTGTGTTCAAGTATGTCCATCGCATGGATTGACCCAGGGTTTGTGTGTTGAGAGAACTGAGGCTAGCTAGCTTGCCTGTAAACACTGATAGAGCACCAGCCTCTTTGGCTACTGGCCAGTGTATGTAATGCCATTGATACACAGTACTGCGTACCGTTCTGTTTTATTCTCATCGAACACCAATCAGCCATAACAATATGACCACTGACAGATGTTAAGATTAATAACATTGATTATGTTGTTACAGTGGCACCTGTCAGTGTGTGGGATATATTAGGCAGCAAGTGAACATTCAGTCCTGATGTACTGGAAGTAGGAAAATTGGACAAGCATAAAGATCTGAGTGACTTTGATGGGGGGCAAACAGTGATGGTGAAACGACTGGGTCAGAGCATCTCCCAGACTGGGTGTTCCCCATCTGCAGGGGATAGCACCTACCAAGTGGTCTAAAGAAGGACAAACAGTGAACTGTCAACAGAGTCATAGATGCCCAAGGCTCACTGGTGATGAGGTTGACCTACCGGAGATTAAACTTTTGCATTTCATTGATCCTTTTCAAAAGATTCCATTTTGTTTGAATCTTTGTTCAAATGGTAGAAAATGAGAAATACTATACGTTGGTCTCTGTGAAGAGGAACACTTAGCAGCAATAGTGATGATATCACAACTAGAGTAGTGAGGCTGTTGTCTAAAAAATATCACTCTAACTTGTCCTCACGACAACAGGTTTCACTCCTTTAACATTTTTTCACTAAATGATAGATTTGTGCTATTTCAGACAGTATTTCTATTGATGCAAACAGATTCATACAAGATGCACTGTGAACCTTAGAGTGATGAGACTGCTAACCAACTGCTGCATTGACTACATACACGGTATTAGGTAGGTGGTCATAATCTTATGGCTAATTGATGTATAAACTTTTGAAACCATATCTACAGCTTTTTAGGCAGCAAGCTAATGCTAACAAAGTTAGCTAGTTAACCCTACTTGTAAAGTATTGATCATTTTTTGAAAACTTTTTGCCATGACTTTCACACATTCCCAGATTAGTCTGACTCCTGCTTTCACTCAGTTTCACATTGGATTTAAGTCCAATATACAGTATGTGTATTTGAAATACATAAAAGGTGTCAATTAGGACACTAAAAGCAGAAAATACAAGAAGTAATGTATGAGTTTACTGTATCAGAATGTTGAAATAAAATGAACCCTTCTCTGATTAGTCCTGCGTTTACATTTTCCAAGCTTATTCAAAATGACAATTTAATGTTTTGGGCATGTGTCTCTTAGCTGCTTTTTAGTAATTAAAATAAAATGCTAAAATAAATCAGATCTGTCTTTGTTAACACTACAGCAGCAGCAGCAGTAACTTGTTGATGAAGCTGTGAATTAAAAAAAGATAGCCCATACAGTAGCACCATCATGTGGTTTGGATATGCACTTACATTAGCAGCTACAGAGCATGAAACTGAAATCATTCAGTTAGACTGCAAACCACCGCCAGACATCCATCCATCCATTTCTATACCACTTATCCTGAATAGGGTCACGGGGTGCTGGAGCCAGTCCCAGCTGAAACTGAGTGAAAGCAGGAGTCAGACTAATCTGGGAATGTGTGAAAATCTATCACAGGGCTGATACTTAGAGACAGACAACCGCATGCACACACACACGCTCAGTCACTCCTACTGGCACTTAAGAGTCACCAGTCAACCTAAGCTGCATGTCTTTGGACTGTGGGAGGAAGCCGGAGTACCCGGAGAGAACCCACGGAGGCACAGGGAGAGCATGCAAACTCCACACAGAAAAGCACAGGGTTAGCCAGGGCTCGAACCCGGAACCTTCTTGCTGTGACGTGACAGCGCTAACCACTATGTCGCACCACCCCTAGACATATTAGATTAAAATGGCAATGCTCAGAGAAACATTGTTAAAAGTAGGGTGTGTGTGTGTGGAGGTTTTAAATGTGTCATACCACACAAAAAGAAAAATGATCCTTCTCTGACAGTAAGCTATATTTACAGTATGTCTTAGGACTTTTCTCTCATTTTAGCTTTGTCCTTGTTGAACACCATCTATTAAACAGAGACATACCTACTCATACAGCATCATTATAGAATCTGAGCTACACTAACCCAACTGCATCAAGAGATTAAGAATAAAAGGGATTACAGAGTGAATGTTATACAGATATTATATTGGAACCTTGATTACAGAATACACAGTGTCCACAGATTTTGCAATAGCACATGATATGATTTACCCAAGGAGCCAGTGGTGCACAACATCTGTTCATCAATGAAATACTTTTTAAATACATACTCTAATTAATTAAAGATAGTCAAGCATATACATATAATGCAGGGCTTCAGAAAAGAACATCTTTAATTTTTTCTCCCACAGTGCATTTCCATCCCATATACAAACCAGCAGAACATATAACATCTGTTTCTCTTAACCTACCTTCAAATATCCAAAACTGGGACTTAACATTAGTCACAAATATAGTAAACATATAAGAATTGCTTTTGACCTTATCATTTGGTCTTGAAGTGATCTTGTGTGCATTTCAATAGAAAGAATATAGTATATAATTTTTACTCTTATTTAAAGCTGAATTCAGAACACACACACTGGCTCAATTCCGAACAATCCAAAAGTTTTGATGCCACAGGTTTAGTTGGTCTGGTATGAGCAGTAGTCTATGGTGGCTGATGTTAGCTAACGTTAGCAAACTTTAGATGGTCCTGTATAACAGGCATTAGACTTTATGACTCCTTCTGATTTCGATTTTTAAAATTGTCTAAATCTAAAGATGACTTCAGTCACACTTAAATTCAAAGAAAGTTAGTTAAAATCAAATTCTTCTTACCACAGCTAAATAAAACATTTATGTCATCTGAAAATAAAATGAAGTTGAATGATTTTGGAAGCTTTACCTTCATGTACAAAATAAACAGTAATAGGCTCGTTTTTTGAGTTTTCAGACAGATTTAAGATGATAATTCTTTGTTATAACATTGTAGATAAGTCAGAAAACACAGAGAAGCATGCCACGGGCACTTTAAGACCTGTATAAGTCAGCTATATCTTTGCTTTGAAAAACATATGGCGTCATAGTTGAAAGTTATTAACAAAAAAGAGTCAGGAGCTGAAACATCCTACAAATATAAACACTAATAAAAAATAAAGCTCTGTATTAAACCGTATTTAAGTATAACGTTTTGTGGCCCCATTATTATAAAATGTTACCAACAGGCTGTTTCTCTTAGCCTATTTGTTGAATTCATTGAGACTGACTACTGCGTTTGGTAGTAACCTATGTTTCCGTTGTCCCGTGTTGTAGCCAATCACATAATGTGAAACTTTGAGGTAGTAAAAATAAAATAAATAAACAAATATTTTATAAACTAAGGGTGGGGGCGAAGGAGACACAGAGGAGGGGAGCGGAGGGGAAGGAGCAGCGGAACCCGGATGCTGATGCTGACGTAGAAGAGAAGGGAGGAGGAGGAGGAGGAGTGTGAGAGGTGGGGAACAAGAGAAAAGAGAACGGGGATATTACGGGCAGCAGCGGAGTGCAGGAGGCCATCCCGTCACGGACACAACTTCTGACAACCTGAAAGATTGTTTTTTCCAAGGCAGTTTTTAAAAATTGTTTTGTTACCTGTGCAGGAGGCAACAACCTGGCGCCAGCTGAGGGAGGAGATGCGGTGATATGAGCATAGCCGGCCAGGGACTGAGAAAGAGAGGGAGGGAGGGGGAGGCGGGGAGTCGGCTACCACCAGGCCAGCTGAGGATGCTTGTTGTTTCTAGAAACCTGATTAATCACCGGGCCGAGTGCTGAGCCTCTCCCGGGCACCGGGCGCACCTTTCCCCGCTGCAGTTGTCCCGACCGAGGGCACATTTCGCCTGTCTTCCCGAGGTTCTGTGCCTTTTGGATGCTCTCCCCCCTCTTCCTCTATTTCCTGATGCAGAGCAGGGGAGGGGGTGAGCCAAAGTGTGCACCGGATATTGGAAAACCCATTCTTCTTGCAGATGCGGTTCTGATAATAGATTGTTATCTGGACAACGCCGCATCTGCAGATGAAAGGCAGATCCCGACCAAACGAGGCATGGCTTGAGAAGAAATGTATGAGTTTGGCACAATTGTGAAAACATGTTTGCACGGTAGCAGTAGCGAGGAGGGGGGGTCCCTGATATCGATCAGAGAATGGATTCAATCAGGGCATTCTGACTTGGGATATTTGAGACTCTGCTCTTACGGAAATCAATCTATGGCAAATGTAGCCTTCCTGTCTGAATGACATCTTTTCTGCTCCACTTCTGGCCAGCTGCATAAGCTACAAACGACCAGTCAGCTTTAAACTACTGTTCTTTGCAGCAGGGGGTAGGATTATGTGACTATTCACACTACTGTGGACATCTCCCGTCACTGGCACCGGTTAAACCCCACACATCCTCTTCCCTCTGATCTTTTCCCTCAGAATGATGCAGCTGTAGTAAAAGAGACACAGACTGAGGCGGGGAAATACTTTATCCTAGGGCTTATATAGTGGAAACTGAACCGGTTCTCACTCCCAGTGCGGAGCCGACCGCATGACAAACAAGTGCATGGGAGTAGCCTGCAGGGCCCGGCTTTAGATCACGACCAGTCCTCCGCATCTTGTCTCCCCGCCACTGCCGTATAACAGCCTGTGATGTGCGTTACAATATTATGCACGGAGCAGGACCGAGCGCTATCTTGATCTGCCTTATATCAGGAATAGAATTTCATCTCGGGAAGGATGAGCAGCAAGGAGCTGACGCTGGGCCAGTCCAGCCAGTACGTGGGGCCTTACCGACTAGAGAAGACTCTTGGGAAGGGACAGACAGGTAGGAAGCTCCTAAATAACCTCGAGTCATGTAACAAAGCAAATAGGACGTCTGCAAGGTACCTCAGCTGATTCCAAGATGACGCACCTCCTTTCAAAATCACCTAGTCAGCTCATGGTTTAATCCTTAATCTTCTTGTATGTCTTCTTATCTTCCATGGTTTTATTATGCTACAATCCTCTTAATCTATCTCCTAAAATTCATGACAGAATATAGATCCTTTAGTATTTGGGGAGGAAAAGGGCATCACAATAGGCTTTGGTCAGTGTTTGTGACAAGCTTTCTGAATTATTGATGACACCTCTTCCTTCACACTGCATGATTATTTCTGATATTCAAACACTACTTTCTCTTTGCGTACCTCTCAGGGCTGGTGAAGTTGGGCGTCCACTGTATAACTGGGCAGAAGGTGGCCATAAAGATTGTCAACAGAGAGAAACTCTCCGAATCAGTTCTAATGAAGGTACAGCACTGAAGGTTTACCTCATACTTATCCATCTGGCTTTCTATCTGTCTGTGTGCTCTATGTTCTGTGCCTGTAATCACTGACTGTAATTATGAGCTCAAATCATGTAAGCTTGCTCTCTCCAGCTTGCAGAAATAGCAACAGAAATGGAGTCTTTATTTTTGTCAAGAAAAGCCCGTCAGTGTGTTGCAACTTGGAGCAGCCGAACGTGTGGGCACTGCTTTTGTATACCAGACAACAGAGAGGATTTCAAATTAAGCCCTCTACTGAAAGCTAGTGCAGCTGAAACACGCCGGACTGAAATATAATTTAAATAGCCTTTTCATGTTGGTGTTTCTAATGTGGCTGACTACTTGAAGTTTTGTGCATTCTGGTTAGACTATATAGAGAATCATAAAGGCTTCTGGTAGGGTAGCTCAAACAGCATAAATCTGTTCCAGCTTCTTTTTTATATGTGTTTTTGACCAAATTAATAAAGTTTCAGGCTTTATTTCTTTTTCCAGAAGACAGACACAGGCAACAAGCAAAAAAAAGCCACCTTTCACCCCGTTCTCATCCCACTGGTGCCCAGTCCTTTGGTTTTACAGTTGTGCTCATTTGTAATGCTCTGGAAAGTTGCCTATTGCCTACTCTGCGCACTGACCATATGTAACTGTATTACTAGGCTGCCGTCAGCTAGCTTTAGCTGGGAATGCCAACTACGAGGAACTGAATTGGCTTTTTCATATAGACCTTCCAAAGGTTCCTTTACATTTTAGCTTCATCATGATACAAGATGTTCTGTAACAGTAGTTCCACTTTTGACTTATCATATATTTCTTGTTTGCAGCAGGTCATCACAGTTCCATTCTGCCCCATCCCACACACATGTATACTTAGTGTATACTTAGTGTATACTTACAAATAGCAGCCCTTGGACCTTTAAACATAATGATTTAGCCACTTGAAAGTTTTTATCAAAACCTATAGACATTGTTCAGAATACTGAATTTACGAACCAAATTTCAATCCTGCAAACTGTTATTGTTCCTTGTTTTGTTCCACATGTGTGATTTCTATGGACAGCTGTTGGTGCTGAAATGAGAGCTACACAAACACCCAACAAAAAATAAAACCATTTTATTTAAAGGATAGGTTTGGATAGTTTCAATTTCATCTGTAGGTTAAAGATTTTTTGGGTGATGTTGCAGTCTTGTTCCAGTGAAACTCTGCTGTAAAAGCTGGTGCACAAAATTCACAGCCCTTGTTGTGTGCACAGAGAAAATCCAAAGTTTAACCAAAGCTAATATGAGGCTATGAGGCTTGACTTGGATAACACAGATTGTTGAAACCTTATATTTGTACACAAAACAAACACGGTGGCTGTTGTCCTTCATATTTTGTGTCGTCATGCTAGAAAGGTATCACTTCACAGTCACTATGGAAAGGAGGAATGATTAGAACAACCAGTAACTCTTTAGACATACTGTATATTGGCATGTGAATAATGTACTAATCTAGACTTGAAAAAAATGGAACCTATCCTTTATATAAAGCATACCTGATGTATTTAGTTCAAACACACGATGTATCAGTGTTACATATTCCACTGAAATTGGTTCTCCCTGTCAAGAACAGTCAAGGATTTTTTTCTGCAAAATAGTTTAGCAATGATTAACAAAATTTTAAACTGTTGTATTTTTGCTAATCGAGCACTGAATAGTCAGAGATGTGTGGAGCCTTGTAGAGATTTTTACTGGCTCCATATACAGTAGCTCAATCAGTCAGTAACATAGTGCCAGTCATAACAGGAAACTGATTTTACATGTTTGATATTCACTCTTCTTTTAGCTTCTTTTAACTCTGATCAATAAAACTAAAGGGAAGTGCAGCAGTTTTAATAATTCTTTGTAGTTTTGTCTATAGGTGCAGCTTTAAATCTCAGTAGATTATTGATGTTGTAAATGTCTGAGCTATCTTACTGTAGGGGATGAACTGCACTTAAGCTTTCAGATGGAAAACTAATAATGAAAGTATTTAATTTATAATGTTTTAATATCTCTTTTCTTCCCTTCTTTCTTTCATTTATCATTTATACATCCGGTTCCTGTCTTGAAATTAATACTAAAGGATTTGCAAAAAACATTTACTACAATCTCTCTCTTCTCCACATTTTACCTACTGTAACTCTGTCATTTTATTTGCTTCTTCCCTCTCTCCCTGTCTTACATCACATTTACCCTCCCCTTGCTTCTGACATTTCCATCTCCATCATTTTGAACCTTCCTCCTCCTCCTTTCTCTCTCATAACCTTTTTTCACCTCCCTCCCTCCCTCTGTCTATCCAGGTGGAGAGAGAAATAGCTATACTTAAACTAATAGAGCATCCTCACGTTTTGAAGCTGCATGATGTCTATGAGAATAACAAATACCTGTGAGTATCTTTTTATCCTTTCCTCTAACTTTTTTGAAATTCTTTCCTTTCTGCCTCTGGATCTCTGCCAAAGCAGAAACAGCCTAGAATCTGAAAGGGAAAAGGGGCTCTGCATAACAAAACTGAGATAAATGACAATATGACATCAAAGATATCCAGGTCTGCCAGTGTGTGTTTGAGTGTGTATGAGTTTGCATGTTTAGAAGAGGCATCCATGGCTTCTGAGCATGAACGTAGATGGTAGGTTATTTATTTCTTTTAATTTCTGTTATCAAGGATCCTTCCCTGTCCTCGACCTGTTTTCATTTTGCTGACCCCCTGCCCTTCTGTCTCCCAGTTACCTGGTGTTGGAGCATGTGTCCGGGGGAGAGTTATTTGACTACCTGGTGAAGAAGGGCAGGCTGACCCCTAAAGAGGCCAGGAAGTTCTTCAGGCAAATCATCTCTGCCCTCGACTTCTGTCACAGTCACTCCATATGGTCTGTCAGAAAGCTAGAGGAAACCTTTCTCTTATATCTTGTTCTATTCACTTACATGTCCATTTTGATTGTTAATACATTTTCTTTAAAGGTACTCTGCCAAATTTCTTTTGTGCAGTTAGAGCAGTCCCAAACCTTTTCTACTGGGCCCCCCGTATGTTTAAGTCCTTGGCCTCACACTGGTTACCTAACAGTGAGCATGAGTGTGTGTGCTTGCTTGTGTATGCAGTCACAGAGACCTGAAGCCAGAGAACCTTCTCCTGGATGAAAAGAATAACATCAGGATAGCAGACTTTGGCATGGCCTCACTACAGGTTGGGGACAGCCTGCTAGAAACCAGTTGTGGGTGAGTATGGGGTTAAGAGGGTTAAGGTGTTTTTGGTGTTGACATTTGCTTGTGTTAAATCATTAAATATGTTCCCTCATCTATCTTTATAGATCCCCACATTATGCTTGCCCAGAGGTGATAAGGGTAAGTTACTTGCCTCACTGTGTAAGTGTTTGTGTGTGTTTGCATGTCTAATGCTTCCCTGTCCGTGCATTTGTGTATCAGGGGGAGAAATACGATGGGCGCAGAGCAGATGTTTGGAGCTGTGGAGTCATCCTCTTTGCTCTTCTTGTGGTAGGAACATCTTTCTTTTATTCTACAGTATTTTTTCCTCCACTGAATATTATAAACAGTTTCCTTACAAGCAGGACTGTCAGCCTGTCAGGTCTGTGAGGGTCCAGGCAAACTCTGTGCAGACGTTCATGTGCAAGCCAATAATTTGTGTCTGTACGAACTGTCCGCTCAACAAAAAACCCAGATTGCACATGTACCACAATATTTGGAAAATGCTGGCGCATGCAGACAAATGATGGAGCCTTGATCCAAAGTATCAATAGGAGCACGTGCACATCGTCTGTCCATGTCCATATGAGAATACGCACAAAATATGGTTAGCCCTTTAAAGGTACTTTGTGGAGTTTTTGAAGTAGCGCTTTGAATAGCAAACTGTTTTGTTTGAGTGTTTTGTCTAAACACAAGGGTATGAGGACAGACTAGCATGTGGGCCACATAATACACAAATGCAGACTGTTCTACAGACTTTCAGTTGGTGGCAGTAACATGCAACCGACACAAAGCAGAGATTAAAGAGACAAAGCAAAAAACTGATATAAAAATACATTTGTGAGGCTTCAGATATATGCATACAGTAGCATTTTGTTGATAAATATAAGACAGATATAGTATAGATGCCTTTGCCTCTCCACAAGGTACCTTTAATAGACAAAGTGAACAAAATCCACTGACCAGCACGTCTAAAGCTAAGCAATTAACACATTACGTCATATTTGTGTCACTGTACCTGTAAACATAGAACATACCCCCAATCCCTACTAGATAAAAGCGAATAAGCATTTTGCAAAAATTTAACGACTGTTTGTTGAGGTTAAGAGGTATTTTGTTCATAGAAGACATTCAGTGCGAGTGAAAAACACCTAGAATTTTTCATATCTTTCTTTGTCTTTTTGATCTTATTCTATAATTTTTTCTCATTTCCAACCTTTTTATCTTTTTCCTGTATCTCTCCTCTTCTCTTCTCCCATTCATTCCCAGGGTGCCTTGCCCTTTGACCATGATAACCTGCGACAGCTACTGGAAAAAGTGAAGAGTGGAGTGTTTCATATGCCCCACTTTATACCTCCTGACTGCCAAGCTTTACTTAAAGGAATGATAGAAGTCAACTCTGACAAGAGACTCACGGTGAGGAGGGGAAGCTCGTGGGGTGGAGCGAGAGTAAAAAAACAACAACATATAAACAGTTGTAGTGATGATGAACTTTGACTCATTAGGTCCTTCCTTTTGTTAAGTGTCTTTTACTTGTTACTTCAGTGAAGACCTGGCCAGTTATAGTGACACAGCAACAGAGACAGCATGTTTAACTTCACTGAAGTTTGAAATGAGATAAAGCTCACCCAGCCAAAGCATCATTTTGTTATCAAAGAGCAAGGCTGTCTTTCTGGAGGCATGTCTTTGAAAAATCATTGAACCGCAATAGAAGTGAAACTGATGAGATAAACATTACATTCATAGAGTACAGTGGCAAAAATCCATCTGTCAAGCTTTAGATCCCTCCATATGTTGAAGCAGTCTGGATGAGGCTATAGTAAGATCAATAATCTGTAAATTGAGAGTTTGGAAGGTGGTGTCTCAAAACTAAAAACACAATAGTACAGAAGAAAGGAAGTACAAACATACAGTAGTGTGTAGGGTTACAGGTCACATTAAGAAAAGCCCAGTTCACCGTAGCACAGCTGTCGTGTCCCCTCTCTTTCCATGGTCTCGTGCCGAAGTCTGTTTTCTCCTGGAATAGCATTTCTTGTAGTACTGCCCTTCTGTGGCACCGGCTCTGGATGTTAGCAGATTTCTGCAGCACTGTTGGATCTCAGGACGTTTACCTTCCAGCACCCACAACCAACACTGCCTGAGATAGCAACAATGTTTGTCAGTCTGCATACTAAAAGGCTCTAATGAACATACAAACAAGGGTCAATAATACACAATTAAATGTGCTAAAGAATGGGAGAGCATTCATATGGAAGCTCAGTATACTGTACGAGTTAAATCTTTAAGCAGCATGTAAGCAGCCAAAGAGCCTGAGATAAGAGCCTGATTTTACATTTTTCTTATCAATGCTACATTTAACTAGTTTCACACTGCATAGAGTACTGCAATATTTATTTTTTTAATTTCCATGTCTTCTACATACATCATCAACTGGTCATGTTGTTATCTTTTTTCTGATGATATAAAGCTCTATTTTACTGCAGTATCATGTGTGTAGCCATCTATAGGGTTCTTTTTTTAAAATAAGTCTGCTGGAATTGTTCAGAAGTCCACCAGAGACGCTGCTTTCAACCAGCTCATGAACAATAATGTTAGCTTAATCAGCTAGCTACAGTAAAAACTGTCAGTGACCATTTTTGCTTCTGTTTAAAAGAAACGACCAAGTGCAACAGAAATTATGAAGAATTTTGGCTGGTAAATCTGCCTCCATTAGTGTAGTAGACTGTGATGCTCAGTGGGTGTAGCAGGAGTAAGGAAGGTGGGGCTAAGGAAATGGTTAATTGTTGCTGTAACACATCGGTTTCTACAGCACATGAATAATGAACTTGGCATTTAAATGGGGGGGGAGGAAACAAAAGACTCAGCTTCAGGCATTTCTTCAAGATGTGACAGAAATTAACCCTGGTAGAAAATCCTACAGAGGCAGACAAAGGGGCGAAAATGAACAGAAGCATGAGCTGACAGTTTTTTTTTTTTAAAGATCAGGAGTAGGGTCAACCATGACAGGAGAGCTCTGTGTTTTTGTTTCTGTCTTCAAGGGCAAGTTAGTGGTTATTAGACTCTCTGAAACCAAGATTTAGGTTTGAAGAAGAAAATATGAGTGGAAGGATCGAGTGGCTTCATCAGTGGCTGAAAATTATGATAGAGGCACTGGGAGTGAAAAAGACAAGGACCTTTCCTCCTTTTTACCTAAATACTAGTTTTCCATCCTGAAAGCAAGGCTTGAAAAGAGCCTGGCATTTCAGAGAGAGAGATAGAGGGCAGAGGGTGAGTGAACGAGTGAATGGACTGCCTGAAGAAGTTCCACTGCACTCAGGTTAGAAACAGAAGCTGGGATAAAGCAGGCAAGTGGGATGGAAATGAATTTATGGTTATGAGGCAGAAGGATGGAAGCAACTGTGATAATGTTGTTCATGTGGGACTGCAAGATAAAGACAGAGAGACATAAAATGTCTGGCCAGTTAGTCATTCAGCTACAGTAGAGCTGATTTAATCAAAGCTGTGGGTTTGTCTGACGAGCTGTTGATTAATGGAGCCTGAAACCAGGTCAGACTGTCTCTCTCTCTCTCTTTCTGTCTGTCTGTCTGTTAGTTGACTCCATGGAAACCATCTATGATGCAGGGAGACAGATTTCAAACAAATGTACAGTATTTGTAGTTAGCAAGATGACCCACACATTTTCTGTTTTGCCCTTTTTCATCATACTCATATCAATCAGGAAACAAGAACATTGTCTCCTTTCTGCAGTATGCAACACTTCATAAGTGAATTAATGAGTGCAAAGTTGTCACTGCATGCAGCTGCAAGCTAGCTTCCTCTCTGCAGATGAACAAATGGCCTTCACAGCAGCCCACTTCTGACTTTTTACATGCTTACAGAACTGCAGCTGCTCCATTACTCTAACCCCAAGAGATACTGTGCAGCAGTGATGCAATGGCTACCACTGTATGCAGTCATAATGCAGAGAGGGGACTTGTATATACTAATGGAGTAGTGGATATAGGACTGCTACAAGAAAACAAGAGTCTATGGAGTATGCTATTCCTTTTCTGGTTGTGTTAGTTGGGAATTTAATTTTGATATTAGCATGAACAGTTTTAAAATTCCAGATTGACACAGAGCACATCACAAGTGAGCGCTGTTTTTTTTTCCACAAAGACAAACTCACTGGTGGAGTGTTTATGTTCTAGGACCCTTTCTCTTTTTGCTGACCTGTTCTCCTTCACACTGTCTGTTCTCTTCCTCTCCACCGTTGTCTTACGCTTGACCTAATTCACTTTGTGCTGGGGTTGGTTGTTCTTTTCTTGGCTGCAGTTGTGTTTTCACAAAATGATCCATAATCTGATGTGAACTGACCTCTTAGCAAATCTGAAGTACATAATAACAACACCATGCTGAGCCCAAGTCTGGGGAAGCCATTCATGCTGAGCCAGTTAATGATATTACAGAGGCCAACATGTAAAACTGAGACAGCAGTGGGCTGTATGTGGACCACTGGCCGTGCAATGACTATTCATGGTCGTCAGCCTACAGCTAGTAGCCCTGTGAGGATGTATTTAGGCACAGTGACGCTTTGATCAAATGTCAGCATGCTAACATGCTCACAATGACAAAGACAGCTGCAATGTTTACCATGATGACCATCGTAGTTTAGCCTGTTAGCATGTTAACATCTGTAAACAGAAAGTGCAGCTGAAACCATTGGGAATGCTATTAGTTTTGCAGGGATAAACCAGAGGGTTGGAAGAATTAAAAATCTCCCCTCAGACCTCAGGCCCCTAAAAACACTTCTTTCCAAACATCACCAAGCAAAAGAGCAGCTAAATTTAACATTATGAGTGTAACTGCAATGCTGACATGATAGCTTTAGCCTTTCATAAGGTAAACTACTGACCCGAGGCAGGACTTCTTTCTTACACTGGAACCAGTGTCCACTTGTACAGTGGACGCTTCATGTTTGTTGATATGTGTCATTTTAGGGTTAAATCAGTGCTTTAATAAAATCTTATATCTTATTGATTACAGCTAGAAGCAATACAGAAACACCCCTGGTACCAGTAAGTACCATTTTTCTTACTTTTCATATTTTCTTCAACCAAGTCAGCCATACAAACATACCCATCATTATACTTCATAATTATTCCAAGATGCTGCAGCTCCCTACATTGATGTCAACAAAGGGCTAACAGATTCAAAGCAAGAGTGAAATTCTCTATTTCCTGGATACTTCTGTAAACTTTGAGACGTTTCTGAAATGTCTGATTCCACCTACTAAATACATACGCCACTGTTCTCCTATCAGGGGTGGTCGAAATGAGCCTTGCCCAGAGCAGCCGCCTCCTCGCCGTGTGTGTTTGAAGAGAATCCTGTCGTTAACAGAGCTGGACCCTGACGTCCTGGAAAGCATGTACTCTTTAGGGTGCTTCAGAGACCGGGTCAAACTCACAAAGGACCTTACAAGTGAGGAGTGAGTAAATATAACCCATCAGCTTTCAGTACATGGCAATACATCAGTGTGCACCACTGCTGAAACACAGCCTGTAATATATGGAAATAATAATTAAACCATTATTCTAGCAGTTTTATAAATCTGCATGATTTCCAAATAAAAGAAAGGAACAGTCCACATGCAGGTGTGTATTGTGTGTGGTTTATTAATTTCTCTCCCTCTCACTCATTTCCTCTTTGTGTCTTTTTGTCTCATTGTGGCAAGTCAGTTACTTACATCATTAGTCTGTGTGGCATGGCAAGAACAAGAGCAACAATGTGAACAATGCCTCCTTTGTCACTCTCTGTCCATCCATTGTGTCACCCTCTGTGCCAAAGCGATGTGGCTTCTCAATGCTCAGAGTGCAGCAGTAATAGTAGACCTGTTCATCAGGAAAAGCCAGCAAACATATATTTAGATTAAAGCTACGTCAGTCTGTGTGTTTATATTAACAATATTTTGCAGATTTAAATATATTTGGAAAGACAGCTGTTACTATTAATTATTGTACGGATAGTTTTAGCATCTTCTAGCTTATTATTTACAGTCATCTTATTTAGAAACTGTTTATCAAACACTTCTATATGTATAATACTTCTATATACTATATGACCTGATTCAACCAATAATGTTTGCTAATTTTTTACACTCGGACCTACAGAATATTACCAAATGTGTAGTAGTCGTCCTGATATTTCTGACAACCTTGAAAAGCCTCTGTCATTTCTTGTGTTCCCAATTCTTTCCTGGTTCTGTCAGCCACAGTCTTTCTGGCACTTCTCTTTTTCTTTCCAATCTTTAAATTCTGCTTCTTTGTATCTCTTTCTGCAGGGAGAACCAGGAGAAGATGATATACTACCTCCTGTTGGACAGGAAGGAGCGATACCCTAGCTGTGAGGATGAAGATCTGCCACCCAGAAATGACATAGGTGGGAAGAGTTGCTCTTTACCTTTTTGACGGTCTAACCAAACTCAACATGGCATAAAGCTTGATAATGAAAATAAACATTAGGTTGAACTGTGCTTTTACCATTGAAAGTTTGACCAAAAAAAACCCTCCAAATATCAAGCGAACAGTTAATAATGTATTTTTAATTCGCATTTCTGTTCTCCATATTTTTTACTACTATTTTATACCTCCAAGACCCACCAAGGAAGCGTGTCGACTCCCCCATGCTGACGCGTCATGGCCGCTGTCGTCCAGAGAGGAAGAGCCTGGAAGTCCTCAGTGTCACAGATCAGGGTTCTCCCCCCCCACCTCGCAGGGCTCTGGACACTAATGCACACAGCCAGAGGTATGCACCAGCAGTGATGTATTATGATCGAAATTGTACCCGGTAGCCATGAATTATAAACTACTGAATATCTTTTGATTGTTGCACCTGACAGTCCTAGTCACCTCAATGACTCTTGTTGTTTGTTGCTGTCTTCAAAAGGTCTCGTTCAGTAAGCGGAGCGTCCACAGGTCTGTCCTCCAGTCCCCTCAGTAGCCCCAGGGTAAAAACTCTATTCTATTCTACTCTGCTTTGTTCATCTGTACCTCACACTATGCATGTAACAGCTAAGAAGCTCTAAGTTAAGATCTTATTATACTCTTGACCTACTTGACCACAGTTTTTATGACTCCGCCCTGGCAATAGCCTGGGTTGGAGGTCTTATGTTTTCGGGTTGTCTGTCTGTCTGGTCCATTCTCATGAGCGCAGTATCTCAGGAACATCTTTAGGGAATTTCTTCAAATTTGGCACAAGTGCCCACTTAGCCTCAAGGATGAACTGATTAGATTTAGATGGTCAAAGGTCACTGTGTCCACACGTCTGTCCCATTCCTGTGAATTTGACTGATTGGTGGAGGCATACAACCACAAAGAGGTCATTTTCATTCTCTTTCCACCACAGTGAAAGAAACATTTCTCACCTACAAAAGTAAGTGTATTAATACCATAGTTTTCCAGGGTGCAAAATTTAATGCAATCACAGATAGCCTACTTTTGTGACAGTGATGGTTAAAAACTATTTGTAGCCTCTGGTGTAGATACATCATGGCTTTGACCTGCTCTCTGAGGACAGCTAAACTTAGACCCTGAAGCAAAATAAGTTTTTAATATAACCTAACCTACAGGCATATGCTTTAATCAACCATCCTTATGTGACAAGATCATGTGAGATCCTGACATCAGATCACTATCAAAAATCAAATGGGTCATAATTTATCTGCTTTTCCCCACTGTTCTGTTTTATAGCTGTTTTTATATTGTCAGGCGGCATTTATAAATGCCATTGCAAACTGCACTCAGCGTTTGTGAGCACTGCTCCATACGCCACTTGTGCCAGCAAGGGGCGTTCTGCAGTCAGCATTTTTGAATACTGCTCTGCGCTGGGGCCCGTGCCGCCGGCTGCCGTTTATTCCTCGGTGTGTATATGAATGCTGTGCTGTATGGCAACAAAACCGCAAGTGTGCATCTGTTTACTAAAATGAACTTGGTGAAATGTGAAAAAATTGTGCTTTCTTTTGTAAATCAGCATTATTATAGGACACTCCCTCTCTAATATCCCTTGATCTGTTGTGTCAGGAAGGGAAAGGAATAGTCCCATAATAAATAAAAAGGGAGTTTTATTTCCACACACCTTTGCAAATTTCATGTAAAAAAAACAAGAACAGCAGGGGAAAGTAGACAAATTATGACCCATTTAGGTTTCAGTAGATACCTGCATCCTCCTAAATAATTTGACCCATTTACAACTCCCTGTGACACCACAGGTCTGTCCCCGTCTTTCAGATGTGGTGTTCTGTCACATACTGTGACTAACTCTCATGAGAATGGGTGATTGGCACAGAAAGCTGCATTAATGTGCACATGTTGCTCTGTTCATTCATTTTTTTAGCATCTTTTGATTACAACTGAAAACTGTGACAAACTTTACAGCAACAGGGGGAACAGCAGTTGTGTGTTATAGAAATAATTTAGAAAATTAAGTCAAGAACACAAGATCTGTCTTCAGTAGTATTTAATAAAGCCTTCATGAAGGTACTCTGTACATCCAGAAAGCAAAAGGTCTCCACAGGAAAGAGCAAAGTAAAACAAGAGCACTCCCCACTTGTAATCTTGCTACCATAGTATTAGAGATAACATAAAATCCTTGTGTACAGAACACGTTGTCCTTGCATCATACCTAGGCTCCGAGGAGCCAGACAGACTCTGGCATCTTGCACGTTGGAGGTCCAAATGATATGTAAACTCGTTTCTTTCTCTGTTGTAGGAGTTGTCACCAATATTGGACATGAAAAGCATCTCTCAATTCAGATTATATTTGATTCATAATTGGTTTCGTTTCATGGCTTGTTTGCCACTCTTCCTAGATTAGCCAAGTTAATGCTATGAATTTTGTAGATATTGTTTACATCAGGTAACAAATATTTTGACATTTTGGGAAATTCACATATTTGCTTTGTGCAAAGAGTTAGATGAAACGATTCATACCACTCTCATGTCTGTTTGGTCAATATGAAGCTACTACCAGCAGCAGGTTAGCTTAGCTTAGCACAAAGACTGGAAACAGGGGGAAACATTCTGGCTCTGTCACAAGGTAACAAAATTCCATTACCACAGCCTCTACAGCTCACTAATTACCGTGCTGTCTTTTGTTTCATACATGTAAAAACTGAAGTTTAGAATTCACAGAGTGTGGTTTTACGATGTAAATATTATTGTGTATTCATCCACAGCTGAAAGTAGTTCCTAATAAATACAGTATTCACTCCTTTACATTTCCATGTACATGTTCAATATGAACCAGTGTATTTGTCACAGGCAGGCTAAAGGAGCCAGACCGTATTAAGAGATGATCTAACACATGGTTGGTGTTGGTCTTTTCTTTCTAATTGTTGACAATAAGAAAAATGCCGCTAAAACTTTAATCTTTAACTGGTTCTCTCTGCAGCATAGTATTGTAATGGCTAAGTAATGGTTCTGATGTTTAGCATCTAGTTAAGTATATTGTGGTCTTGTGAGCTCATTATGCCATGCCCCTCTTTCTGAACTTTTCTGTTAAATATATGAGTACTGTTTAATTTATAGTGAATATACATTAAATAAATGTATTATCAGAAGCTTCTGTATATAAGTATCAGTTCTGGCCATCAAAGACACCGGGTCAAATTTCCTGTGATGATGTTTTCTCTGTATTAATTCTGGCTCAGACTGTCCCTGCTAGTCATGCCTTTCCATCATACTGTCACATTCTCAGCCATACATCTTCTCACTTCATGGACACACCATGCTGCCTCATACAAAAGTCTGTATACACATGCAAAACATACATATAACCATAGCCAAGATTAGAGATCCCCATATTCATCTTCCATTTGGTGCATCTAATTGAGGCTTGTTGAAGAATTGTGTCCATGAACCATATTTCATGACCATTACTTTCTCTCATCTGTCCATCCCTCTTTCCCATCTCTGTCTGTCCATCAGAGCCCAGTCTTCACTTTCAACCAATCAGACGTCACATCCACCTCCACGTCCACCTCCAAAGACCCCAAAACAGGAAGTTCCACCACCCCTCGGCCTACCCGCCCGACACCTGATCCAAAAACCCAGACCCTGCCCTCAAAGGGCCCCGCTGACCGGCCCCAGCTCCACACCATGAAGTCTCTCCCTCTCCAGAGTCCACGCTCCCCTTCCCCGTCCCCCTCCCCGCTCCTCTCTCCCACCCCACGCTTCTTCAACTTCCCTTCTCCATCTGTCTTCAAGTCCAAGAATGTCCACTCATCCTCTAACGCCTCTGCCACCCCTCCTCCTGTGTCACAGGTCACACCGCAGGGCTCACCACTGCCCACCCCACTGGGCACACCTGTGCACCAAATCCAACATCCTTCCTCCACCCCTCCCTCCTCTTCCTCCTCATCTTCTTCTTCCAGGGCGGATGGAGCAGGTGGGGCCTCGTTGTCGCTGACCCCACCCTCCAGTCCAGGGGGCACTGGTGGTCTGGCCGCCTCAAGCTCCGCCCACTGGAGAACAAGGTTCAACTCATTCAAAAACAACCTGCTGGGCTCGCCGCGCTTTCATCGGCGCAAACTCCAAGGTGAGTGAAGCTGAATAATGTAAAGTGAATCATGGCTGAATTTAGTGTAATGCTCTTCTCTTTATTTTTTATTTTACCTTAATTTTACAAGGAAGTCCCATTGAGATCTAGATATCTTCTTAAAGGGAGACCTGGCCAAGAAAGCAGCAATACAAATTTAAAATTCGACAAATACAACACAATATACAAAAAATTTGTTTACAGGATAAAAATAACGGGCTCTCAAGAAAAACAGCTACACTACGTCTCCTTCACCAAATCTTTATGATGCCTTTAAATTCTTGTGATTAAATGTGTCTAACTGTAGGTCTTTCTGCAAGTTATTTTATGACTAAGGTGCATAGTAGGAAAATGCTGTTTTCCTCAGATCTGTACAAATTCAAGATATGTACATTAAAAAGTAACCACCTGGAAGAGTGTAGCTGGTAACCACTAAAGCTGAGACAGAAAAAGGTGCAAAGATAACCTGGACATTTACCTTACCTGGCTTTATAGATAAAAAATATACCAGTGCTTACTGGTATTGATACTATTACATCCTGAAATTTGTTTTCCAGCTGTGTATTAAAGCCACATTTTCTCTGTCACTGGAATCTGATGCTTTGCTAACAGTATTAGAGTTCTCCTACTGTGCATTTGCATCTTAGATAGACTCTATTATTAGCAAGAAACTAGCGCATGTCATAGCTTGCAGCCTGTGGCCGTGTTGTGTAATGCCTGATTTTGTGATAATTTGTAATTAGGGAAATCAAATTAGGGCCTGTCATCAACATTCACCACCCTTTTCCTTTTTGTTTCTCTCTCTGCCTCTTTTTCATTTTTCAGTCCCTACATCTGAGGACATGTCCAGTTTGACTCCAGAGTCTAGTCCAGAGTAAGTGCACACATATCTCAATTTGTCTTCCTCTGTTTACTGTTAAAATGAAGTATAACATTTCAGCTGTTTGTTATGTTAGTTAAACTATTTCACCACAATGTCCATTTAGTAGCTGTCCTGGAACCTTCATGTTTCCAAGTTCCAAGATTTTTTGGTCAGCTGCTTCTTGAGTTGAGAGTGAATTTTTGCTGCATTTCCACTATCGGAATCTAACGAGCAGTATACCCCATGCCTCCGGGGTTGACGCCGACTGTCCTGCTTTGTTTTTCCACTATATTTTCTCTCTGTTGGTCCCTGTTTAGAGGAGGGAGGGCCAGCTCCGCTCTCACACATGCAGTCAGCTGTGTGGTGCTTGTAACGCAAATGCTTGAGGTGTGAAGACGTGGACATTTAACTGATCACTGATGATTACTCTGCACACATGCACCCCTCTACCCTCGTGTTCCTTGCACTTGATTTTAGCCCTACATCCTGAGGGATGCTGAAATTTAGGCCCCAGAACACACCTCCAAAGTACCGTAGCAGAAACAAACGCAGAACCTGTGACGAGCGTTACTCAGCGTAACCTGTTTCCGTTTCAGTCGTGTTTTCATTTACTTTGAAACTCCAACTTCCTGGACTTTATTTAGTTAAGATTTATTTCCATGTATGTGTTAATTAAGGGGCCCTTAGTTCTTGCAGCAGAATTCTCTTTGCTGCTCAGATTTTTTTCTGCTGAATTTAACTGTATAATATACTCTATGTACTTAATTCCTTGACTTGCAGACTGGCTAAAAGGTCCTGGTTCGGTAACTTCATCAGCCTGGAGAAGGAGGAGCAGATTTTTGTTTTGATCAGAGACAAGCCACTCAGTTCGATTAAGGCTGACATTGTCCATGCCTTTCTGTCTGTGAGTAAAGTTGAGCATAGATAAGCCTCAGCTACTTCCAGCATTACTTCATAATACCATCTGTGGCGTTAAAGGCACAGATTTAAGATCTTTCTCACTGGGTGTCACTTTTTTCTTTTGCGCTTCCAGATCCCGTCCCTCAGCCACAGTGTGGTGTCTCAGAACAGTTTCCGGGCAGAATACAAGTCCTCTGGTGGCCCCTCTGTCTTCCAGAAGCCTGTGAAGTTTCAGGTACTATATTTCACTTTTAATCTTTTCAGCCCTGGCAGAGGTTTTCTTTTGAAGCAGTGTTTTTTGAAGGGTTATGTTGGTTACATTTCTATGCTTTACAATCAAATTAAAACATTTAGTACACATATATAAGAATGTTTTTCTTTCTCATTGCTGTTCTAGAACTTTATTTTGAATCATGTCAACACAACTCATCCAAGGCAACTCATAAACTCTTCCAAGTGTTAGCAAGGACTGCAGGGGTTGCCATCTTAATGCAAGCAATTTCTCAGCTGCAATGCACCCTTAGTTATCAGTTAACATGCAACCCTTAGGGTTGCATGTTAACTGATGATATGTTGCCTTTGACAGACAATTTGTCACCTCTAGCCAAAATTCCTTTACCGGGAAAAATCCCACATCATATACTGTATGTACCCAACAAATGAGATACACCTAAGTATAGTTCAGTGTATTAACCTTTTTCATATGATATAGCTTCACTGTTATCAAAGAGAAACTTAAAATATATCTAAATAATAAATAATAATATATCACAATCAGGTCATACAGTATATATAGTGATTTAAAACTTTGTCATTTCCTGAAATTTCCACACCCTTCTAAGGGGACTCAAGTTGTGAATACATTTTTTTTAAAAGCGGTTGTGGTGAAGAAGGAGCTGAGTCGTAACACAAAGCTCTCAATTTACCGGTCGATCGACGTTCCTGCCCTCACCTATAAACTTTGGATCATGACCGAAAGAATGACATTGCAGATACAAGCGGCAGAAATGAGTTGCCTGAAGATTAAAAGTGAAATAGTACCTGAGAGTGGCTGGGCGCACCCTTAGGGATAGGGTGCGGAGTTCAGTCACCCGTGAGGAGCTTAGCGTAGAGCCGTTGCTCTTCCACATTGAGCAGAACCAGCCGAGGTGGCTCGGGCACCTGTTTAGGATGCCCCCTGGACGCCTCCCTGGGGAGATATTCTGGGCATGTCCCTCTGGGAGAAGGCCTCGGGGAAAAAGTAGTTGCTTTGAAGATTGTATGCATTTTGGAGGTTTTGGAATGATCTGAAAACACTTTAATCAATACTGAATTTTCATCTGACACTGGCATTCAATGTGAAAAATGACATTTGATCTTCTTAAATAGCATAGGCGCCTATAAAAATTTTGGTAACCACTCAAAATATTGTTATTGAACAGTTCTGGTTGTAAACAAATATTGTTTCACTGTTTCTAGAAAAATGCAACAGAGAGCTGTATGAAATAAAACTATGATACAGTCTCTTTGTAAGCGAGGTCATTTTATCCTGACTTGTCTTTGTGCGTTTTTCACTGAAAGTCACCAAAAATATGAATAACTAATTGTTTTGTTTTGTTTTTTTAATCAGAAATGTTTATGGGAGTGAGATGTCAGTGAAGCTCTTTTTATTTATTTATTTATTGGTGCCTTTCTCCTGTAGGTGGACATTGGTTTCTCTGAGGGAGAGAGGGAGCGAGAGAGGGAGCGAGCAGAGAGGGAAGGAAGAAGAGAGATGGGCATCTACAGCGTCACCTTCACTCTACTAACAGGCAGGAGGATGTGTTTAGAGCCACATAGCCAGAGATTCATAACCTACATGTAATCAAATAGGATAGGACATCATTTTACATCTAAACATCAGACACTTGGCTAAATAGGGAACATTTTGTAGATGTCTTCTTGTCTGTGAGTATATGAGAAAATTAAAGGTGGTGTTGTACTGGACTACATTATATTCAGAGGTATCTCTATATTTTTGCCCTCCCCAGCTACATACATGAGAGGGTCAGAATATTAGGAACACGTCTGAATACCGTGTAGTTCAGTACAACACCACCTTTTAACTATGGCCTCAACAATAACCATATAATCAAATTTATACATTTATGACAATTTCACCAAAAGCTGAAACATTTTGAGCTTCATAAACACAAATGTTAAGGTGGAAGTGTTGCATTGAAGAGCAAACAATTGTACAGGTGTGTCTATTAAAGTGGCTGGTCAGTGTAGATTAGACTGGCTTATTCACATTTATAGTGTTGACATATAACCAGCTTTATACTGTACTACAAAATTGTAACACAAACTTTTGCGCCCTTAAAGGTAATTTGCTGCAGAATTAATAATACATATTTCATATTTATAGCTTGGTTGTAATGTAATCTGTCTATTAGATTATATAATTTTTATATTAACATTGATTCACAGTGATTGAGCTTTACACTTTTAGTTCAGTCATCACCCTCATAGTGTTGTTTTCAGCTGCAACAGGCAGCTACAGTATACACTGTCACCCCCAAAATGTTACTGACTACATGGTGAACATAGTGGAGCATTTAGCAGCTGAAAGAGCCAGATATGTGCCTCTGAAGTTAATAAAGGTCAGTAACAAAGCTTAAAGAAGAAGAGTGAATATTGGACCCAAATCCACCAGGTGGCCAGAAGCTCAAATCCAAATCAGTGCTAATGTAATAATAAGAAACTGTTTACCAACAAGTTTAGTAAATCAACTTAAAAGGTAATGATATTGTATGTCCATGGCATGTTTACAGCTTGTTTGCACTGCCCCTACGTGACCAAAACAATTATAGCAGAATTTTAAAAAATCCCAGAGTACATGGGATTTGCAGTTTGTTTGTTTGTTTGAGTTATCTTGTGTATTTTCAGTGTATATGGTTGAGACTACATTTTTGCACTGATATTTAGAATTGGGGCTTGAATTGTTGCAGTTGTAGACTTAACAAAGCAGTTAGGGTCATTTACAGTAACATGAGTGATGAGTTGATCCTCTCTCCTCTCAGGTCCCAGTCGCAGATTTAAAAGAGTGGTGGAAACCATTCAGGCTCAGCTGCTGAGTACTCATGATCAGCCTTCTGTGCAGGCACTGGCTGGTGAGTAACACACACACACACACACACACACACACACACACACACACGTACCACTAATCTGTAGAGTTGGGCACTAAAATTGGCAACTCGTTCATGTCACATTTGGGTCCCACATTCTGTAAATTGACTTGGCTTGAAACTGATCCCTAATTGACTTCAGCCTTGACTTCAAAGATACAGTACATAAGGCCCTGAACATTTCTAAGAGATGTACAGTATCTAAAATTATAAAATAACTTTATCCATCCATTATATATACCACTTATTCCTGAATAGGGTCATGGGGGGGCTGGAGCCACTCCCAGCTGAACAAGGCGTGAGAGGTGGTCTATCACCAGTCTATCACAGGGCTGGCATGTAGACAAACAACCACACACACTCACACTCACTCCTAGGGGAAATTTAGAGTCACCAGTCAACCTAAGCTGCATGTCTTTGACCTGTGGAAGGATGCCGGAGTAGCCGGAGAGAACCCACGCAGGCACAGGGAGAACATGCAAACTCCACATAGAAAGATCCCATGTCAGCCTGGGCTCAAACCTGGAACCCTCTTGCTGTGAGGTGACAGCACTACAGTGTTTTTATTTTGATTGCAATTACATATTTATCTGCAGGTTTGCAGAATTCAACCAGGGAAAGTTAGATGGTCTGTAGCAGCTCAGAAGGTCACTGTATTAACCCACTATATAACCTTGACTCAGACCCTGATTTAAAGACTTGGCTCAGACTTACTTTTTTTCACTTCTTTTGTCCCTGTTTTACACTTTACCTCTCAGATGAGAAGAATGGTCAGCTTTCCCGCCAGCCCAGCACTCCTTCACGTCAGAACTCTCGGCGTTCTGAAAGCGCATCAGATCGGGAGCGGGGAGAGAGGGAGCATGCAGCAGATGAGGGAAGTGGAAGTGGGAGCAGCAGTAGCACTGTCTTACAAAGGCATGGGTCGGGAAAAGACAAGACCAGACTCCTCTCCTCGTCCAATGGGACGCAGTCTCATCCATGAGAAGAATGTTGCAAAAGAGAGGTGACGGCCTTTCTCTCTGTCCTTCCCACATTTTTTCTTTCTTTTTCCTTACTTCCTGCTTTGCTTCCCACCATTATTCTCTAGCAATCTGATGGAGATGAAGTTTTTCCTCAAAGCCGATCTAAGGATATGATGTATATTTGTTGGGGTGGTAGAGACAGGTTGAGCTGATCTGTAATCAGTCTTTCAAGGCAGCTTCACACTGGAAGGACAAGTCTAAAGACAGGATGACCAAAAAAGTCCCACCTTACCAGAGAAATACAAGAAAAGCTCACAGCCAGGTACACACATAGCTCACTTGTGTCAACAGATCAAGAAAGCACATGACCTTTTCACCAACCATTCATACGCAGCACATGGTTCAAATCCATCAGTCAGTCAGAAGGACACAGGAGGAAGGAAGCCATTCTCATTTATCATTTCCTGACCAGCCAAATGTCACATGGATCATTAGGTTTCCTCAACTCCACCTGACCAAACATGAGTCACATGACAGGAATCCCACTCTACTCTCTTCTCCTCATTTTCTAACTGAAGACAAATGTATATCCTCAAGCAAAGCAACAAAATGATGTCTTTTGAGAAAGCAACGAGGATTACAGGATGAGTCTCGATGTAGACCTGATTGTTAAAGTGGATTTTTTCCATAAATAATTAACAAACATCGTTGTACTTTAACAACCAAGGAGTCTGAGAGCAGAGGAGAACAAACAAAGAAATGACAAACAATGGATCTGATGTAATCTACATAGATGAGTCCTACAGCTAGCTGAAAATTAGAATAAAGCAGACACAACACTTCAGTGAGTGTATAAGACATGTAAAGCCCCACATTTATTTCTGAATTACACTAATAAAGCTATGATACCATATTGCCTTTAACGGAGGAGAAAAGTGGATAGCTGTGTAGTTTTAGCCCCGTTTTCAGGACACTAGTCACTCCACTGGTAGAGTCTCTTACAAGTGAGTACTTCTACTGGATGAGAGGGAGATGAGTAGACAGAGACAAAAACAGAAAATAGCTAGCAACAGGTATCCATTTGGTAGCACAGGAGGGACAAAAGAAGAACACAGAACATTTCCTTAAGCTAATTTAGAGATGACAATTAAAACCACTTTTGTTAAAGGATACCTTAAGATTTAGTGTGTCTTAGTTCTAATCTTAATGCAACATTGATATGCCATATGTACAATGAAAGGACTGCTCACTGTAATTTTACCTGCTGTACATATTGGCTGTGAGACAGTACCTGAAAGAAACATTTTTCAGATTAAAGCTAATATCAGGCTTCATTTGTCTGAATTAGAATAACAATTGCTAAACCCATCCCCAGTTACAGGAGATATTCAGTTGTAGCATAGCCAAAATAACTACACACCGATGAAAAATTAAAGGAAAAACCTAAAAAAATGAGTCTCTTCCAGGATGATATCATGAGGATGAAAATGATGTGAATCATATGCTGTGGCCTTCACAGTCACCAGAGCTCAACCCAGCTGAACCTACAGGAGGTTTTGGACTGATGTGCTAGTCATCGCCTCCACCGCCATCATCAAAACACCAAATGAGACTTTTTTGTTCTTTTAGCACTGTATATGGCCACCAAGCGCATGTGGCCGGGGGCACCCCTGTAGAAGATGTTGTTAACCACAACAAGATTTCCCTGGTAAAACACTGATTAAATAAAAATAAATGTAAGACCCTTTAGGGTGCTCATTTAAAACAAGACATTTGAGTGAGAAATCTGCCACCATCACATCAGGTATGCCTACGTTGGTACCTAATACTACAGAAGTGCCTCAAAAACAAAGAAACACTGATACTTAATGCCAAATTATGTTGTTCTAGGTCCCAAACCTATGAAACACATTACTATACCATCAGTAAACAGTATTTTGCTGACTTCGTAAACAGCTCTGACATCCTTCATATATATTGCATTATGGTATGATGCAGCATTTGGGAAACGTTAGCACTATAGAATGAAACAAAGCCTCATGCTCACATCATTTAAATAAGCTAATTTAGCTACGTTGGCTGTGTTTCATGTTTACAATGGTTTAGCACATACAAAAATTCTGTGCGTAATTGCATTTTAATTGGCTGAATTTATTGCAGCTTCAGTGAGAGTTGTGAATTTTATCCAGATATAACTGTTAGGAATTGTGGCTTTCCATGTTGCCAATGAAGAAAATAATTATAGCTTGCACACTGATTTAATGCTCCAAAAATGATATTTACACATCCCATGCTGCCACGCCAATGACGTATCGACATTAAGTCTTCATGTTAAAATGTTGTTGCAATGGCAGCTTGGCTTCCATTTTTGGAGCATTAAATCAGTGTGCAGGCTACAGTTCTTTTCTTCATTAGTATTGTAGGCTGGCCTACACACCTGATGTAGAGATGTTTTTAGGCACTTATAATTTATTTATTTTTGTTAGTTATTTCTGCCAATTGGAAGATAATGTATCTGTCAGAAATTCCCAATATTTCTGACTCAGAAGTACAACTAGAGGCTAATGTTTTTTTCTATTGCTTGTAATTATGGTCTAAAATATATTCTTAAATGTGCTACAGATGCCATTTCATTTGGCTAGCTCAGACTATTAAGCCTCAGTCAGTTATATAATTAGGCAAAACTAGCTTCAGCTAAGCTTGGTCTGTTTTGTACCTTATCTATATATTACAATATACAGTAGTCATGTGAGGAAAGGACTTTTCAGGGCCAGTATGGAGAGGATGAATACAGCGACCGAGTTTCTTTCACTGTATGTATAGGCATGTGAATATCGTACAAAAAATGACTTTAAAAAAAATCAAATGTTCTTTAAGAGGCAAAAATTAAGATCTGTGATATTAAGAGGCTGGTCAAACAAGAAAACCAGCTGTTTAGTCTTTTTAGACTCACAATTAAGCAACTGGAACCTTTGTAATGTTCCTTTTTGTTTGACAGTAGATGCAGAACGCTGCACGGCTCAACAAAGCACCAACAATATCGTCAGCCGTTTCTTCCTCTCTGAAAGGATTAATGGAGGGAGGACAGAGAGAGGCAGGTGGAAAGCAACAAATAATGGGCTTGTCACAAGTGGGAAAACAAGTAAGCAGGGACAAAAGAAAAAGGACTCAGGAGTGTCTGCTGTCGTAAGAACTCTGCACACATACAGTACTGCCTGGAGGGGGGAAGGGACAAATGAATCTCCCTGGAAAGAATGAGAGCAGGATTTTAAGCTGCTTGTTTGGTTTTTATTTTCCATTCCTCCTTTGTCTACTCTGCTCTGTTTTTTCTTTTTTCTTTTTTTTTTCTTCTTTTTTTTTTAACAGTTTTGTGTTTTCCACCAGCAAAACAGAAGAAGGTGGTAACTATATGAATGTCAAAATTAAACTAAAAACTAAACATACACTACCAGTCAAAGGACTGGACACACTTTCTCATTCAATTACTTGGGAAAGTGTGTCCAAACGTTTGACTGGTAGTGTATTTTTGTTATATATATATTTTGAAAATGTGTTTATTTATGTATTGTTGATCTATTTATTTATGTATTTGCCATATAACTGCTGAAAGTGGGATTTTTTTCTTTTTATAAATGAAATAGCAGGAGATGGGTGAAGACAGGGAAATGTTACTTTAATGAGTTCTGACACTGCAGGAAATACCTTTCACTAAGAAAATCTGAGACAGATCTCCTCTCCTTTTCAGTTTAACATTCTGGAAACTGATGCTGCAACAATACCTTCCAGATTTATTTTGTTTTGTTTCCCTGTTTAGTTTATCATTCATCACTCTCTGCTACTATAGATGCTCACATTGTACAACCCTAGATTGCCTTTTGTGCAATTGACCAAAAGGCTGTAACTCATATTTATCAGTGCATAGTCATTCACTTTTTCAGGCATTTGTTCAGTTCATGTTGTTTCTTATGTCATTGAGGTGTGTTTTTAAGCACCTAGGGCAAAAGAGAGCAGGATGCCACATTGTTGGTATGTTGCATATTTACTTCAAAGACATATGTATGTGTGCTTGCATGAAATAGTTATTTTTCCCCTAGGCTGGTGACATGTTTCTATGAATGGCATTGATTCTTTGTTGGTTGGTTGGTCTGCCACTTTGGTCCACACTGAAATATCTCAACAAACAGTGGATGGGCTGTGATAACATTTTACAGACATGTTCCTTATAGTATGCACCCTGCTGACTTTAGTGATGCTATGACTTTTCATCTATCGCATTCATCAGGTCAAAAAATTCAGTTGTCCAAATACGTGTAAAACTAACATTTTTTCCACCTCAGCTGCACTTTGTGTTTAGAGCAAACTAGCAAGTGTTACCATGCTAACATAATAAACTAAGAAGGGGAATGTGGCAAACATTAAAGATTAGCCTGTTAGCATGTCTCTGTGAGCATGTTAGCTTGCTGACATTTTCGCTCAAAGCACCACTGTGCCTAGTTCAGCTTTACAGAGGTGCTAGCATGGCTGTAGGCTAGTTCAGAATTATGACTGCTAACAAAAATGTCTTTTCTTGTCATTTTCATTTTGACTCATTCCTGCAAACCAACACGCCACTGAAATCATTACACATTCCTAACTGACTTTCAATAGTCTCCTC